TATTGTTTCTGCTGTGTGTTTTTTATCTATCAAGGGGGTTCAAGTTTCTTTATTTTTGAGTTATACTTCCATGTTACAATACCCATGGAATGTCCCTGGTATCCTCCTCCAAAGGGTGTCATCTGGAAATGTGCCTCGATGTGCCTTTTGAGCTCCCGCGGAACCCCAACCCTTCCAAATTGATCAAGTCATCTCACGTCCTTCCCTGGCTTTGCCCACAGCGGTCAAAACAGTTTGATTGGTTTCATCTTTGCACAGACTTCTTTGGTACCTTTCACAACCTCACAAAGCCACAATTAAATTGAAAAGATGGCCAGAACAAATGGCAAAAACGGGCAGAAAGAATGAGGCCTGCTCATATCCCATGAAGCACAGCCAACAAAGATGCCTCGGATTGAAAAATCCGAGGTATCATCGGACTCAAATCCTCAGACAAAATCTTTCCAAGGTTTTGATCCGAGGTATTATTTTGCGTCAAAAAATACCTCGGATCAAATCCTCGGACAAGACCTGTCCGAGGGTTTCCATCCGATGATGCCTCGGATTTTTCAATCCGAGGCATCTATGTTGGTGGTGAAGTGTAACACCGCGGGATCTCTTAATTTCACACAAACACATTGAGTATGATATGTCATTCATGTCTTGTATACATTGTATGTCTTGTATACATTGTATCTATTGTCAGTATGTTGAACAAACCTGAACACTGTCAGGAGGTGTTCAATGGAAGCCCAGTCCGTTTTGGTGAAGTGTGCCGGATGGACAAACGCACCTTCTTGAACCTGATGGATATCTTGAATCCATACCTCGAAGACACCATCCATGTCTCGGCACGCGAACAAGTCATGATGTTCCTCTACACTGTAGGAAATGGTGCGACCAATCGAATGGTTTCAGAACGGTTTCAGCACTCCGGAGACACAGTCAGTCGATACTTCAATATTGTTCGACATGTGTTGGACAACCTCTCCAGCGAATTCATCACTCAACCAGGTCCTAACGCACCTTGCCCTCCTCAGATCTCTTCTGACCCCAAACGCTTTCCGTGGTTTGAAGGATGCATTGGAGCCATTGATGGAACACATATCCAAGCTATTGTTCCATCAAATGAAGAAGATTTATACCGAAATCGAAAGGGATTTCTCAGCCAAAATGTTCTTGCAGGCTGCTCATTTAACATGACCTTCAACTTTTTCCTCGCTGGTTGCAAAGGCTCAGCAGCTGATGCTCGAGTGCTTGAAGTGGCAAGGCGGGAAGGTCACTTTGTAGTTCCACCAGGTCAGTATTGTTCTTGATCATGATTCGAGTACCAACTGACTGTTTCTGCTCTTTAAGACCAATACTATCTAGCTGATGCTGGGTACGCAAACGAGCCTGGTTTCTTGGCTCCGTATCGTGGGGTAAGATATCACCTAAAAGAATGGGCTCAAGGCCGCCAGGGTCCTCAAGACTACAAAGAGCTATTCAACCTTCGACATTCTTCTCTACGAAATGTCATTGAAAGGTTATTAGGCGTGAACAAAAAGCGATTTAAGATACTTGCTGATATGCACTCATATCCTATCGAGTCACAACCATCACTAGTAATTGCTCTCTGTACTCTTCATAACATTATCAAAACCCGAGGCGAAGACTGGTTTTTTGATGAATACGATGTGGAGAATTTGGAGAACGATCGAGCCTGGCTAGCGGCAAACACAAATTTATATCGGACTGCCACTGATCAAGTCCGAACTCAAGCAAAGGATGCAAGAGACCGTTTGGCTATGGCAATGTGGGATGACTATTTAGCTCATCATCCATAGCCTTTCAAGTGCTCAACCTCATCGTTCAGCATTTTTACAATCAATACAATCAAATTGACTTAGTTTTTCATTTTTTTAAACTCATCTTCCATCAGACATTGCATTAAATTCACCGTTCCAACCCTTTCACAAGCTATCACACCTTTCTTTCTGTTTTTTCAACAAAACCTCATTTTTATTGTTATTTGCAGACCGTTTAGCTTTCTTAGCAGAAGCTCAGTTTAAGTGATTAGATAGACATTCTTAGTCATATATGATGGTCTTTATCTTTATCTCTACTTACAATCAAATCCCAAGCTTCTTGTTTTTTTCTTTTTAATCTCATCGCTTCAACCCTTTCCTTTTGAGGCAACTTTATTCTTAAAGATGAAACCCTTATCTGAGAGATGTAAATCACATGACTAAAGCCTTCGCTTCACTTTTTTTATGTTTGAGTTCGTTTTTGTTCGCTTCACTTTTTTAATGTTTGAGTTTGTTTTTGTTGATATTTTTACTCGTTTAAGTAAATAAGTGATCAATTCAGATTAATCACATGACTAAAGCCTTCGCTTCACTTTTTTTATGTTTGAGTTCGTTTTTGTTCGCTTCACTTTTTTTATGTTTGAGTGCGTTTTTGTTGATATTTTTACTCGTTTAAGTAAATAAGTGATCAGTTCAGATTGACAAATAAGATTTGATTTGCTTGATAACAACATACAAATTGAGATGATCATGCTGATCATGCTAGATAACTGGAAGCAATTAAAAGAACAACCAGAGTAAAAGTGGAAGCAATTAAAAGAACAACCAGAGTAAAAGTGGAAGCGATTAAAAGAACAACCAGAGTAAAAGATTCAATGAGATAAAAATGACAAAAATATAACGAGATCTGAGAAGATACACATAGAAAGAATGATGAGGCACAAGACCGATCATGCTACATACTTGTAATCATAAAAAGTCAGAATTTCTCGTTGTTGATCAGAATGAAGTGAAAGATTGAAGAAGATGCATGTTGATCTGATTGTTCTACTTGTAATCGATGAGAAACAAAGGTTGAAGGCGATAAACCATTTCTGAGTCGAAAGTTTGATTGAACATACACGTTTGATTTCAAAGATGGTTCTACTTGAAATTGATGAGAAACGATGGTAATTCAATCAATCATTTCTGAGTGGAAAGTTCGATCTCTTCTAAAATCCAGGGCCAACGTAGCTTGTCTTCTAATTGAATGAAGAATGCACAATTATCTTCGGTGCGTAAGACTTTTGAGCCCGCAAGTCGACTCTTGTCATCTTGTGATTGGATTGTGGCATCTGCTTTAAAAATATCCATGGCTTGTTTTAACGAAGGAGTTGCAGATTGCTTGAGGGCTAAAGATTCTTGCTCGAGTCGGGCTGCTTCTTGAGCACGGGTGGCCTTGCGAGCATCATGAGCAGCTGATGATCTGGCACGGATCTTCTCACGCTGTAATGCACTGTTCATCCGGGCTTGGCCATGACTAGCGGCGTTATTGAGAGCAGTTGCAATATTGGCTTTGCTGGCTGGACGGGTGCGAGGACCAACCTTGGGTTTGGATTGGCTAGGAGGATCGTGAGCAGGGATCTGAGTGGATTTCGGATACTGAGGAGATTACCCTTGATCTTGGAGGTCGCATCGGGACTGGAAATTCGATCTTCATCTTGCTCGATGATAGTCTCAGGTTGATCTTTTGTGATAATAAAGATTATGTAAGTTGAAAGAGAAAGAACAGATTACGAATTCAGACAACTTACCAATAGGCTTGGTGCTGTGAGGGTCAAACAAAGGAAGACCTTCCTCGTCAGAATCATCAATTATCATCTCTGCTCCTCTGACATGATCTTCTTTTTCCCGAAGTTCCTCTTTGTCAGAATCATCAAGGGCCAACTCCTCCGCAGTGAGGTGGTCTTGCTTTGCTCGAAGTTTCTTTGAACTTGGTCCAGTAGCGCGAATCCCAGTAACTGCCAAGTTAGTATCACCCACTAGTTCGCTCATGGTGTTATATAAGGGGAATGGTTTATCTCTGTATACTAATGCACCCTGGTTACGCTGGTATTGGTTGGGTTTAACAAATTGATACAACATACATCAGTTCAATTGGCAAGATGATCAGAAAAGGAACTAGAACAGGAAGAGTTACTTCAGCATAGCTTGGCCAGCTGAAATCTGGTTCGACCTCAATCATGTTGGTTTCTTCATTCCAACCAACACCTGAAGTTGATCGAAGTTTATGTACAATGGTGTATTGCTTTTTGGCCTGGAATTAGGTGGACATGCAAGGTCAGTATTTGTGAAAAAGGAAGCAAAGATCACCTCACCTCATTAAAACGGTTCTTTATTTGATCCTTAACTAGGGTGGTTTTATATTTATCATTGTAATCTCTGACAACCTCATTCCAAGCCTCGGATTTGAAGCCTGACTGTGCTTTCTTCCCCTCGAGTTGTTGTACAATAAGCGCATTTAGGAAATACTGGACTTTTGCATTGGTCCAATTTGGTGGGGTTAAGGGCTGCTTGGTGTTTGATCTACCCATATTGAATTGGAATTGAAGTAAGAGAAGAGTATTGGACTCGTGAGAATGTGTTGGAAGTTGAAAAAGGTGGTTAATTGAGTAGTTGATAGAGAAGGGTGGTGTTGGTACAAGTGGTTCAGTTGGGCTTCAGCATTGGACAAGTCGAAGTTTAACATGAGTGTCATATGAAAATGAAGTACATTTTGATTATTTCAATGTGTAGTTTTGGATTGCATAATACATTATGATACCACAGGCCAAAACAGGCCGAACATGGTATTTGCATTCTACATTTTTTTTTTCAATACTACATTTTTCGGTGGTAAAATAAACGCTACCGAACGGGCCCTAAGACAAAGTAGTCATACTGATAGTACTATAGTATTATTGTACTAAGATTTATAGTACGATAGTACCAACGCTGCCACAAATACTTTACCAGTACCGGTAAAGTAACGGTATCGTAACTTTTTTTCCAGTATCGTATCGCCGGTATCAGTATCGCGGCCACTGATACGCTACTGCCCGACCCTCCTGGCAGTATCGTGGACAGCAATACTTTACTAAGTATCGTACCGGGCCCCGAGTACGATACTGGGCCCGGACTTGGACAGTATCAAGTATCGCACCAGTATCGCTGTACCTTCCCACGTCGGAGTTGAATCATGTTAGGCTTGGCGGAATGACTGCTCTTTGCACGTCATCGCTATTGATTCAAACCCCTAGCACGTCTGACCCACCAACCCACCCTCCTTTCCTGATTGGGCCAACCTGTGGTCAGATAGCTTTGACAACTTTAGCACGGTGAGTCGATTTCAACTTCAATCACATGAAGTCTTCCTTTAATTGACACCCTCTTTTGGTGTATTCCCTTTCTTGTTTTCCTCACGTCTCAGGCTTCAACTTCGAGTTCTACGATGTATTCCCGTCCTCATCGCGATGAAAAAAGCCCCACCCCTGCCTCTTCTCCTCATCGATCGCCTTCATCGCAAGCACAGGCTCAGCCAACCCCTCGTCGAAGTGCTCGAACAACCCCACTCCGTCGACAATCTTCCATGGTTATCCCTCCCTCCGATTCTCGAAAGGCCGTTCCGAGTGATGTTGAATCCGAGTCCGAGAATGTACGAAAGGGTTCCAAGCGTCGCCGAGAGGAAACAGAAGATGAATCAGCTTTGACAAGCAAAAACCAACCTAAAAAGTCAAAATCAGCTAGTTCTTTGGCTGTTACCTCGAAACAGACCAAGAAGACTGTGGTACCCACCAAGAAATCCAACAATCCGACTCAGGTATGTTTGTTTAAGATTGTATACATCCTTCTCAGCAATCACTGACCATTGTAATTATTTTCAACAGTCTAACAGCACCGCTTCTACCTCAAAGCGAAAACGATTAGAGGTGAACTTAATTCAGGACTCCGAGGATGAACATGTCAAAGTCCAGCAACCCAAGAAAAAGCCTAAGAAAGTAACGAAACAGTTGGAAGAAAAGGGTGAAGAGAAGGAGGCCGAAGTGGAAGAAGTGGATCCCTATGATCCCATCAAGGACTACTTTGAACCTAACTCGGTGAGGGGTGGAAAAGATGTGAGTACAATTTCTCTGTTTCTTTATTCCTGTCAAACGATCATGTGCCAGTGCTTTCAAGCTGACACTGATAATGGCTTTAGAAACCCGAGGGTCCTTATAACTCGTGGGTATGCAAGTATTGTCCCGCCAAAGCTCGCGGCGGTGGTGGTTCCTATTCGAATCTCTATGCTCATCGAGACGGTTCCACCCAAGCTGGAAAGTCCGGCAAGCCTGGCTGCCAAGGACGGGATCAGGCCATTGAAGCGGGTTGTGTACTTCCACCCACAGTTTGCGAAAGACGCAAAAAGCAAGAGCAACTCGTCCAGACATCCATGAACTCTTTTGTTCAGAAGGTAAACAAATTTTCCAACCCAGTCTTGAATCAGATGGTTGGATTGTGGGCTGTCTCTACATCCCAACCTTGGTTGCGAATCGAAGACAAGGCCTTGCGCGCCTGTTTCCGATATGCCAATCCTCACGCTCAGCTTTTTGGCCGCACCTGGCTTGCCAACTTCGCTCACCGGGTGTACCTTGGTCAGCGAGAGACGGTCATATCTGACCTAAAGGTGAGTTTCTTGGCATTTGTTATCATTCAAATCATTTGTTTAATTTTGTTTTAATTGTTCATAATGTTCTCTTTCAATATCAATGTCAGGCCCTTGACAGCAAATATGGCCTAATCTTGGACGCTTGGACATCCCCTCGTAATCGATACGGTTTCATATCAGCATCTGTTACCTACATCAACAGCGAGTGGAAATTTGTTAGCAGGCATCTCTCGATGAAGATGATTGCTTGGCACCACAAAGGCGAGTGGTTAGCCGAGCCGTTGATCAATGTTCTTGTGAAACATGATCTATACTCTAAGATAAGTTTTTTCTTAGTTTTCTTTCATTTCCGGATCTGAACCAAGTATCTAATGTATTTTTAAAATAACACATGGTTTCCCAGACACACGACTCAGGAAGTAACAACGATACGTGCGCTCGTGCAATGCAAGCTCGACTCAAGAAAGTGGCTGAAGAAAACTATGAAGAATTCACTTTTGATGAAAGTACGGATAGAGTGCGATGTGCAGGGCATAAGATTGCTTTGACTGTTAACGGCGGACTACAGGCTCTAGGTATTGAAGCTCCTCCACCGCCGCTTGTCAAGTCCACAATCCTCGGCAACTTTCCACTCGACGAGCACACTTTGGCCACCATTCCGGAAGAAGAAGAAGATGGTGAAGAGTCTTCAAAGTCTCAACAAACCCCTTTGAATAACCAGGACAACTCGGATTACAAAGACGAGGATACTGATCTTAGCAACTTACCAGGAAAGGAAGTCAGCAATGAATGGTATCAAGTCATTGATGGTCCATTCGATCCTCCACCTGCAGTCGAAGTTGAACAACCTGCAACTAATCGCAACGAGGCAAATGAAGTCCATGCACTGACTCTCAAAGTAAGTCGTTTTCTGGTGTTGTGTCCTATTAACCGTCCAAACTTCTGCTGATCAATATCTCTCATATGTGAGGGTAGGGTATTCTTTAGAGTACTCTAGGCTCACTATGGGAAGGGTAGTTAGGTTCCTTTTATTTAAAATAGTTGTATTTCAAATATAATTTTGTAAATACAATTTGAAATAAAAATGAAAGGAAGAAAGGAAATGAGACTGACAGTCTGTTTGGATAAATCCAGACAGACTACAGTTAAATGACTCCTTAGAAGGAGGTTTTGAAATACAATAATATAAGGCTGGATCCAAGGCCCTCCCTTAATCTTCAAGGTAACAGATCAAAGAGTGATATGTAGGTCACTAGCCTGGTTATTTATAGTCACCAACTGGTAGTTATTCAGAAGGTCACTAACCTGTGAGTTGTTGTAGGTCACTAACCTGCAGTTGTTCAAAAGGTCACTAACCTGAGAGTTGATAAAGGTTACTAACCTGAGAGTTGATAAAGGTTACTAACCTGCAGTTGTTCAAAAGGTGACTAACCTGGAGTTCTTTGAGAGGTTACTAACCTGAAAAGTTCTACTTGGGGAAAGTAGAGGATCCAAAGGATGAAGAATGAAATTACTTTATCTTTTAGGCAGGAATCTGCTTTAAAGAGATGAAGTGAATCACTAGTCTTATAAGTATAAGACTTTTGATTATGTACTTCAAAGGAACTTTAAAGGTTCTTTAAAAGATATGTGTAATAAAATGCTTGGGGGAAAGTTCTTGAAGGCTGAGAGAGGAGGGGTTTATATACTCTCCTCTCCAAACCTAATTGTAGTGATATTTGATTGTATCATTACTGTGGTTTAGGGTTTGATGATTATTATTAATTATTATTATTATTAGTATTACATAATTACATATATGTGTCATGTAATTTATGTAGTATAAGCATTTTAACTCTTGACACTGAGTTATGAGGTGTAATTGGTGTTTTATTACATGTTACATATGTTTTTAAATGTATATGTATATGTAATTGGTGTTTGTATATGTTTTATTATATGTTACATATGTTTTATAAGCTGTATGTACATGTAATTAGGTTTATAAGTGAAAGTTCTATATTATAAGTTAGTTTTGGGTACATGTATATGTACCCAGGGCTGACATCATACATAGCTCGACGACATTGCTCGCAAAATTGGTGGTTCTTCTCGGATGTTGCAGGTCTTTGATGCTACTTGTAAAAGCATGGATGTGAAGTTTCCTCGACCGATTCCTGGGTATGGAATTCGATGGAATATCAAAGTTCAATGTTGGGAAAGATTGTACAACGCTCGTGAGGTACGTATTTCCTTTCATATATTTTAATATATCTACATCATATGCTTACAAATCACTTATAACCATCTTAGGTAATTGACACTATGCTTAAAGACAATCAGAAGGAGCCTGCGAAAGGCAAAAATCGCAAGCAAAGCAATCCAAGCTTGGAACCTAGCGATCCTGATGAAAGTCGACCCCGTGGCATTTTCAACAAAGCTTACATTACCCCCGACCAATGGAAGCAGGTCAGCAAGCTTATCAAGATACTGCGAGTGAGTCATCTACTTACCTCCTCAGCCTCTTTTGACCCAAAGTTTCTAACCAACCCCTTTCTTTCCCATACAGGAATTCGAAACACTCACCAAGGTCTTTGAGGCGAATGCTCCTACAGGCTCTCTTGTCATTCGGGAGTATGTGAAACTCAAGAGATCGCTCCAAAATAAAATCGATTCATGTACTTCACGAAGCGACCCTCTCTTCCCCATGTATCACGCCATGCTTGTACGAATCAAATCTTATTTAGATGAAGCACTCAAATCCGATGTTCTGGTTTTAGCCACCATCCTCCATCCCAGCTGGCGAGCCGATTATTTTCAATTTGCATTTGGGGAATACTCTAGTGAATTTGAGACGGCAAAAACCTTGATTGCAACAGCTTTCGACACTCGAAAAGCAAAACTTGAAGCTGAAGTGGGAAAGAAGAACAACAACCCCAATCAAGATTCTGATGGTGAGGACGATGATGATGACGGTTTCCGTGCGCATAGAAAGAAGTTTCAACCACAAATTGAAAACGAGCTGGCAAATTACTTGGATCGAGTTGATGAGCCTTCCAAACAAGTGGAAAAAGATCCAAATCTTGCTCTTGAATGGTGGAAGGTATCATTTCTGCGTTTTATACATTATCATCCTTGATTTAACTGATAATTGATTGTTTTGTGCTCTTATCTAGGTCAATGCAGCAAAATATCCTGTCTTATCCTCTCTCGCCAAAGATTACTTGGCAATATGTGGGGCCTCCTGCGCAGTAGAAAGGACATTCTCTGCGGCTGCAGATGTATGCTGCCGTGATCGTGGCGCTTTGAAACCGCCAACAGTTGAGCGTTCAGTTGGAAGCCGTATGTGGTCTAAAGATGGGATTACTATAGCAGGTGAAGATTTTGAGGAATGCCAAAGATGTATGGCAGATTGTATGGCCTTGGACATGGAAAACAGAAAACGCAAGGGTTAACAAATTGAAATTTCTTCTTTTTTATTATTTTTTTATTATTTTTTACTTTGTTGTCTTCTTTTCACTATGATACAAGATAAGAAATAAGGTTGTGATAGCTGCAATACACAATATCCCTGCTCTGGCAATTTTTTTCACATTTTTTTGTGTTTTTTTGTCCAAGAGTCGCGATACTGCGATACAGTATTGGTATCGTAACTGCTCTGGAGTTACGTTACTGGGGCCTTGGGTGACATAGTATCGTCACCGCGATACTTTACCCAGTATCGTATCGTACTCACAGGTACGGTACTGAGGATCGGATTCCCCAGTATTGTAAATCCGTTACTTTACTGAGTATCGTCAATATGATACCAGTATTGTAATTGTGGCAGCGTTGATAGTACTATGGTAGTCATACTGATTGTACTATAGGACTATAGTACTATCAGTCTTAGTACAGCCGCCTCTCAGAAAACCAATACACGTCAAAACCAATACTCTTGCAAAACTGATAGTTTTTTGTGCAAATAAATTTTATTTGCGGTAAATTTTGTCGAAAAACCAATAAACTCGTCATATCCAGTAACCAATACTGTTTTTCTGAGTTCCCAAGTGTAAAATTAGTTAAAAACCAATAATTTATGTGACTTGTGGGTACAGATTTGTTTGGATTTTTTTGTTCATACTACATGTTTCATTGCACAACTTCACCTTGCATCAATCCTTGTTGACACAAGTAGAGGGTGGTGGATTCAATCAAAGAGATTTGTAATGTTGCTCAGGCACCATAGAGCTACATTTCTTTGTCATAACCAATAATTTGAGTGCAGATTGTTTTCTATTGGTTTTGACAGAGATTTGACAAAACAGATACTTGGTCAAAACCAATAGCTTTTGTTCCAAATGATTGGGTATTGCTTTTCACAGAGGCGACTGTATGGTACTATAGTACTATAGTACTATCAGTTCAAGTACTATAGTACGGTATTAATATAGTACTATCTATAGTACTGTAGTACTGTCAGTTTGAGTACTATAGTACGGTGGTAATATAGTACTATCAGTATTAGTACTATCAGTACCATTAGTACCATCAGGGCCCTGGAGAGCTTGTATTGAGGCACACAATATAAAAAAAATCTTACACTACATATCCTTCACAAGAGTTTGAACTCATGAGAACTTGATACAGATCCAGAAAACATAAATAGGAGCTCTCAGGGGTCCTTTCCGATGGTACTATCAGTACCATCAGTACCCATTAGTACGTATGCAATAAATTCAATATATTCAATACATGAAATCAATGCAATACAATCAGAGCACTCAAATTGGGATACTTTGTTGCTTTCATCATAAAAACATTTGCTGGATCTCATAAATTTGACAGTAAATTTTACAGAATCCAGTGAGGTGCTTTGAGATCTTAAGCTATAGGTTCTTCACATAATCACAAACATGTAAAAATCTGTTGCTTGACTCATTTGATGTTTTATGAATTTGGCATACTTTGAAGCTTTAAGCTTGACCCCTCTTACTACATCCAATATATACAATATATACAATATACCCAATACATACACTACATACACTACATACAATACATACAATACATACAATACATACAATACATACAATACATACAATATATACAATATATACAATATATACACTATATGCAATTACAGTACTCAAAGCAACTATATTTATGTAACATAGTTGCCATATATAGTTTTTTTGGCGGGGAATATACTTCATACTTTGTCTGTTTGTTTCCCCGCCAAAAAAACCTATATACAACAACTATGTACGTGGACATGTAGCTTCAAGTACTGCAAATATATACAATATATGCAACATATACAAAGGGATCCCATATATGAAGTATATGAAGTATATTTAATATATTTAGTGTAAACAGTGTATAAACTCATGGTACTCAAAGCTGTGTATACTTTCCTGTGTATAGTTTTTTGTTTTGTTTTTTTTGCAGCTAGACATGACCCAGAAAAAGTATGTCTTTTGTTTGAAGCTCAACAATATGTACTTCTAACAATGCTGCCACAAATATGATACTGGTCTCTTATTGACAATACTCAGTAAAGTAACGGGCATACAATACTAGAGAATCTGAGCCTCATTGGCATAGTTTTACCCACAATATGATACTCAGTAAAGTATTGCAATGGCAATACTTGCCGCCCATTACCTAGTACTGTATCTTGTCACAATAACAATCAGATACTGATACTGTATCATAGTATTGCACTCCCAGACACAAAAACAATAGAGATTGTGAACTTGATACTTCCCTGGGCCCATTCCGGTATCATACTTGGGGGCAATACAATACTCAGTAAAGTAACACTATATGTACAAGATACTGCCAGGAGGATTGGGCAGTAACGTATTGTTGCTGCAATACTGATATTGACATTACAATACCCAAATAAAACTACAATACCGCTACCATACCGATACTGGTAAAGTAATTGTGGCAGTGTTGCTTCTAAGCCAGAAACATAGATTTCCTGGTTGTGTATAGTTGTGCAGGCAGAAAAAAACTATGTACAACAAAGTATACACAGCTTTCAGTACCTCAAATATAAATACAACATACAATATATACAATAAGGGTACTCAAAGTAAAGTATGTAGCACTACATACTTTTTGCTACATACTTTTTTGGCGGGGACAAAGAAAAAAATATACTTTTGGCCTTGTCTTCCCCGCCAAAAAAAGTATATAGCAACAAGTACATACACATACATACTTACTTTGAGTACCCTTAATAAATACAATATCCCATATATACAGTATTATACAGTGTATACACCATATATAATATGTATATACAACATATACAACATATACAACATATACAATACATACAATACATACAATATACAATATATACAATGTATGCAATATATAGCACCTCACTAATTTGTATATATTGTATATATTATATGTATTTTATGTACTGTATGTATTGTGTGTATTGGGTATATTGGATATATTGGATGTAGTAAGAGGGGTCAGCTTCAACACTTTTGAGTTTCACACTTGTGGATCAGGTAAACTTTATAGTTTTTTGAGCTGTAAAAAGTGTGCCTAATTCATAAAAGATCAAATGAGTCAAGTAACAGATTTTTACATGTTTGTGATTATTTGAAGAACCTATAGCTTAAGCTACAGCTATAGGAATTGGTACTCTCAAAAGCATTTTCTGGATCTCATAAATTTGACAGTGAATTTTACAGAATCCAGTGAGGTGCTTTATGACAAAAGTATCCAAAAATCTCAATTTTAGCACTCTTATTGTATTGCATTTATTGTATGTATTGAATATATTGCATATATTGCATTTATTGTATGTATTGTATGTATTGTATGTATTGTATGTATTGTATGTATTGTATGTATTGTATGTATTGTATGTATTGAATGCATTGTATACATGGTATACATTGTATACATTGTGTATGTATTGTATGTATTGTATGTATTTATGGTACTCAAAGCTATATATGTACACGTGTATATTTGCTGTATCCTTTTTTTTGACAGGTAAAAACAAAAATGTACTTTTGAAAGTATTTTCCTTGCCAAAAACAAACTATATACGGCAACTACATACATAGAAATAGTTGCTTTGAGTACCGTAATTGTATATGTTGTATGTATCACCCCCTTTGGTGACAAAAGTTGCATGAAGTTACATATGCAACTTTTGCATCACAGTGAGAAAGTTTCTCTCCATGTTGGTATGTATATCAAAACTTCCTTATGTGAAGACATTCACTAAACTTGTCAAAGGTCACATTTATACAATTGCTAAACAGTTTAACTGTGTGTTTGCCATTTGATAAAATCAATCTATGATTTATTCAAGTTTGTAAGTCATCATTGATGTGTAAATCAAGTACAAAGAACTTGATTCATCCCATTTTACCTTTGTCTCCCTCATCTTTGTTTCCATTGACACCATATTGAGTTCCAATTTTTGATTGTTTATACGGGATAAGGCAGAAGTTCACCAGATTTGCTTATAAACCATTCAATCCATTGATATTGATCATAATCAAGTTACTTTAAAAGCAATTTTTCATGGTTTTTATTCTCTATCAACTACTTGTCATACTCATCCTCAATCATCAAACAGTCAAATTAAGTGTCTCATTCCAAGACTTTTCATTCCTGCTTCATATTTAGTAATCATCTTTGGACTTAGGAGAGCTTTTGGTCATGCTCCTGAACAACTTGTTATAACTCAATGCAGTGAAGGTTGTTTACCAAAATGGGGAAAAAAGATTTAGCTCAATGTTGGGCTACTAGTAGCTACTAGTCTCACAAACACATTTAGTGATCACCCTAAAAAAATCAAATCAGTTCATTTGATCAATAGGAGTACTTCAAGCTTGATACCAAGTATTCAATTCAAAACAATGAGGTTTTGATTCAAAAGCTTCCAAGTCAAAAGAATAAGAATTATGATAGGTGTAATTCAAATGATTAATGTCTTGAGGGATGATATTGAAGAGATCTCTGACTTACTTGTCTCAATATTTTCAAGAGACAAGGGAAAGTTGATGTACAAAAATTCACGTGAAATTGAACTATAAATGAGGTATATGTGTGTATTGTGAGTCAGCCATCATTATCTTTACCATTAAACAAACTCAAAGTAAAATAACCTTCATACAATCCATCAAAACTTTGGTGCCATTTTTCAAGATTTACAGTTTTCAACAAAAGTCAGTCAGATCAAATTCTACAAAAGAGAAAGAGAACTCCTGTGAGATTCTTTTTATGTGGCATATTTACAATAGAAATCTCAATTGATGATAAGATGTTCATTTCATTTTGCCAAAAATTCTTTTGAATATCAGAATCCAAGGGAAAACAATGATGACCTTTATAATTTAGGAAAGAAATGACAATATATAAAATGCTTAAGTATACATAAATATCTTCAAGAATAAAAACCAAAAAATTGGTACAAAATCCACAATATAAAACTTGTTCAAGAATGATTCCTGTCCAAGAGATGATCTAATTCCAACCCAAATACACATCCAAAGTTTTTCAATGTTAGCACATTTTTGTCCAACAGATGATTCTCCATCACCTTTTCCTCTCCCTAATTCTTCTTCCTTTCTGTGAATTTTTTCCTTCAAGATTATCAAGTATTGGGGATGAAGATGAAGATCAGGGTTTACTAGGTTATATACATGATTTAACTAATTTTTGATGTTCTTCCATGTTATATTCTGCAAGTATCAAACACTGCGTCCGCCAGAGCCGTTCTCGACGTCGAGATGGTCATAAACTACAAAGGGGCCCTTTGTAGTCGGCAACGTTCTTGACGTCGAGAACGACTCTGGCGGATGCAGTGAAAGGATACCTCTTCTCTATATCAATATCCATAACCCCAACTCCCTTTTGTACGCGTAGATTAAAAAATCCCAATCAGAACCCTTTTGCACATATCAGCGAGATCATTGCTGAGGGTAAGTACAGCCATACACTCGCTTACTACTGCAGTGTCATAGCCTTTCTTGAGCACTCGACCCTGCTCTGCGGGGCCTTACCTATTGTGATTTGTCTCAAGAGTCGATCATTGTTATCAACAACACAGTGCCTGATAAAAATGAAGATATGAATATAGTCAATCTCAGATCTATCTAAAGCTTGACTTAAAAGGACTCACCAATGATTTTTTCAGGATCGAGCAAACTTAGAGTGTTCTTCTTCAGTTAGCTCTTCAGGTGTATTCGAGGTATTGATTCCCAACTTGCCAATCATCTCAGCATGATTGGCGCTGATCTCTTTGACCTTGATTGCAAGGCACAATTGATTGAAAAGAGCTGTATCTGATTGAGTTGACTTGTGAAAGTGCCGTGTATATTGGCAATTGGTTTTGGTGTTTTGCAATCTGCTCTCGAAGCTGTTGATGTAAGAAGATCATGGTAAGTGTTCGGTGATGTTTCTATGATAACAGTCAAATACCCTCACTTAGCAGCATGAGTGCCATTGATGATATTGTTAAGATTGGTAGTCTTATCCGTTTCAAGTGTTCTTGGTCAATTGGTTAATGATCTTGAGCAGGGTAAAGGGTATGAATGGTAAAGATAAGATTGAGTTGTATGTGTTGAATTCATTTGTTTGTAGTTTGATGAAAGCTCGGCAAGATTGGTAATTGAAGTTTGGTAATTGATCGAGAGGTTTGGTTACTTCAATTTGCTGTGAGTCGTAACAGATATCGATGAATTTTAGAAAAATGAGAATGATAGGTTCAGAGCAAGATTATCCTGGTTTGGTGAGGTATCTTGTTGAGTCGGTGGAGAGATGGATTGGGTCGCATTGGATCTATAAAACCTCGGTTAAAAAGGGCATTGAGTCAGTTGGAACTGTTGCTTCCGAGGTAATGACTAGGGAATTCGACTAAATATCAAATATCCTTACCTCCAGAGCTTGGAAATTGAAATCCTTGGTCAGTTTATGACTTGGAGAGGTTCATTCGGATGAGGCAATTGTGTCGGTATTAGGTCACTGAATAGTCAGTTAGATTCAGTCAGAGGATATATCGGCTTGGGATAGCCTCGGTTAATGGTCGGATGATTAAGTTGGTTAGATTTTGATCGGATGCATCAAATCGGTGGTGTCTTGGTTGATATAAGTCGGTAGATACTCGGATACGAAATCCAAGGAGTCCTCGGATTTTAGTATCCGAGTCAAAATTGTTGGCAGTGCCTGAGCCCCTCGCGGGCCATTTTGGAGTCAAGGTCCAGCCGTGCCTGGAATTGACCCAACTCACGCTCCTGCTGGAGGTTAGACACCTTGGTCTGCTCAAGATGTTGTTTGAGTGCTTGTGAGGTGAGTTCATTGGCCTTTTCAGCTGCTTGGCTGCTTTTGAGGGTCACATTGACCATATCACAGTGTCATTTTACTACTCACTGGCAGGCCAGTGAGTACGTCCAGCTCAATCCAATCTCGATCCAATCTCAAATCCATGTCAGTTCAATATCAATCCAATCTCAATGTTTGGCCTAGAGTAGCAGACAAACAACCTTCCAGAATGAACTGGAATAAAGTTTGGTTGCATTTCCACACATGGAGGTGTCAGAATGTCTGGAAGGTTTGAGAGATTATGCAGCCCATGCATATCCCCCACTCAATACCGCAATTGCTCCACAATTTTTTGCAATTGTGGAGCAATTGTGTAGCAATTTTTGGCTGCGCAATGGCCCCGCTATATGTAGCGGAGCCTGCGCTCCGCACTAAGAGGGCTGCAAATTCACATAGCGGAGTGAGCGCTCCGCAACGGGCCAGGTCCAGGGCTTCTCCGCTATATAGCACAGAAATACCCTATGCCCAGGCGGCTGGGGTACACCTTCCTTTTACCTTCTCAATATTTCGTCAGACTCACAATTCACTACTTTACCTAATAGTTTTCAACTACAATCAAGTACTTTACGTAATCTATTCATTCACCCCATTTCACTACACTCCATGGTCCATTACGACAGAACCAGAATGGACAAGTTCAACTACGCTAGAACCAACACTTGGGAGACTCTTCGAAAGGTGGTTGACAACTGTCTGACAATCTTTCCTATGCTCACAGTCACCTGTGGTCCTAATCGATTTCAAATCATCATAAAGTACGTCCTTATTGGGTTTGAATTCTCTAACTTCGCTGATCTGAAGTAAAGTAACCATCTTATCTGAACTACATCGCCATGGTTTCTTCCAAAAACTCGTCGCAATCACAATCACAATCACATAGCTCTACTTTGCTTCAAGTTCTGGGTCAGAAATTAACTGTCCCTTCCAGAAACCTGCAACCACCCAGCCCTGCTCGCCTCCAAGCAGGGTTTGTGATTCCCCCAAAGGATTCCCGTACCACTGTTTCTCAATCACCGACACCTAGTGAGAATGGTTCACCCAGATCCAAGATTGTTCCTAGTCAGACTGCATCTCCTCAACCTCGGGAGCATCGGACAATCCTATATCTTCTGATAATGATCACATGATAATTATCAGCTGATAATACATGACAATACTGTGTTTGTCTACAAACATAACAGTATTTCCGTAGTGACCCGAGCCTGATTATGCTGCGCACGGGGCTCGCTAGCGCTGTGCTACCCTCCATTCAATACCTCCTTCAACCCATAGCCCTCCTACCTTTGCCACACAACTTGTCCGTTGCCCTCCCTTTTTTAATTCGCTCAATGTTCAAACAAATGCAACAAACCCACAAGTTCTCATTCAAATCAAAACATTTTGACTCAAGCATCACATCAGACGATCACAGACAAATTAGAAGACAAACGAGCAAAGTTAATCAATTGCCATACAATTCTCGCATTACGTGGTTCAATTATCTATTCCAAGATAGGAAGACCAGCACTCTCTTGTCATTTGGCTTCCATGTGACGGTTAAATTTCCTCAAACATAATTGGATTCATGAAAAACTTGAAGACAAATTTGAGCAATCAATCTTTCCTTGCATCGATAATCTTAGGTACCAAAAAACAATCAACTCTCATATCCTCTTGCTTTGATATATACATCTATGTACCTTCATTTTGAAAGATTATACAGGCCTACTTATGTATTCATTTTTAAATCACCTACTTCGATTTCTGATCTATCTCATCAATCATCATCAAACTATCATTCAAACCAATTTGTATTATTGATCAGACTTTATAATTTACTGATTTCAAATGATTCAAACCAATTGATTAATCGATTTGCTGACATTGTTGTAAAAATTGTGAATATATCAGCTTTATCAAACATTAATCCAAACTTGAGGATCCCAAGAAAGATCCTCCAAGAATTTCAAAAATCCACCAGCACCAAATGTATGAGAATATAACCAGATATAGTCTATTCTTTTTGATGAGAAGGTTTAAGGTTTACTCGATCATGGATTTGTGACTCAGCTGCCAAGTATGTTGTCTTTCTTTGTCTTTCTTGTTTGATTTTGACAAAAGTCAATCATGTTCAATTTGGTTGTCTGCCACATAGCCTTGTTATCTATCTTGCCGCTGTCAGCACTCAGAGCTGGTATACTTGCTTCAGCATGATCATGCAGACCTGCTGCTAACAAAAATGTTTTGATGATGTGTTATTTGCATAAGTATACAGGGTGTATGATATTGATGGCTACGTATACCCATGACATGTGGGCCGCAGGCAATCACGTGGCGGATGTTGTGGTAGACTTGTGATTTAAAAATGGATCGGGTATAAGCATGGCACTAGGATTGTATTATGCCTGTAAAAGAAATTCTTGATTTCTGTCTGATAATTATCAGTGTTCATACGAAAGTCAGATCTACCCTCAACCTTGGCCTTCAGCTCCTGTGAAGACAAAGTCCATTCTCCTCTTGGGCTACTGAGAAGCCTAGTAGAATGAAACGGTCTGGTGCCCCGGTCCCCCGGGGCCCAGGTCAAGTGTGAGCAAAGCGTCACCCAAGGGTACCTCCCTTACACGAAGTCAAGGAGGTACGGGTTTGGGGAAGCGCAGGGCCCCGGCCTGGCCTTGGTTCAGCTGAACCAATCTGGGTTGGTTCTCTGAGACCCGTGGCTAAGTCGGGGTCCTCCATCTCAACCCCCCCTCCCCCCTGTTGAGGATGGGCCTGCTCATGTATGGCGTGCACCGGGAAACCCCCTACTCGGGTGCCTCCTAGAGCGCCTACGAGCCTACCGGGCACGCCCCACTCCCGCTCGACTGGTCTCGGCAGCCTATTCTCAAATTCAATTTATTAAGGTTTTCTTCTTACTCCTTCCTACCATGCGATCGACGGTTCAATACGCCACCTCATGTTTTCAACGTCAACCAGGCTCATGCTGGCTTCTCTCAACTCATGTTTATGTCAGTCTCTCTGGACGGTCTCACTTAAAAACCTTAAACCGTGTTAGTCTCAAGGTCACGTTCGTGTCTCGTTCTCACCTCGAGTTATATCATTTCATTTCACTTCATCAATTTCATCTTCGTCGCCCAATCTTTGTCCTCGATGGCTTCTAAAAACTTCTCCGAGTCCTTTATCTCTTCCTTGGTGTACAGTACTAAGTAACGAAGGTAAGCTAACGATGCCCAACGGCCTTGACGGGCGATTCTTTCCATCTTTCCTCCCAGGTTGAATCTTAGGGATGCGCCTCCCACGCGGAAGGAGTGACCACTCCACGTCGCTGGGCTTGTTCGTCCCCAGACTTTGCTGACGCAGTTCAAGAACCGTTGTTTCGATAGGGGTCGAGGTGAGTCTTTCTCCATGGTCGAGAAAAGTATGCTATCTGGATTCTGATTTGGGTGTCTCTCCATCCAGCGTTTTAGAGTGATAACAGGGTCTAGCACATTCAGTTGCTGTTGGAGGTGTATCACTTGTACCTCTCCCGGCTTCGCCGTTTTTGCTTTGCGGAGGTGTAGCTTTGCGAAGTATGTGCCTTTGATAGATCCGAATTCGACGTGTCTCCGGAGCAGCGCGCCGCTCTCGATGGTGGTTCTTGTCAATTCCCCCAACCGTGCCATTCCCCAGAAGGCTATTAGGGCGATCGTGCAAGTGAGCTGTTCCGTGTCTGAACCGTTATAAGTCTCTCGCATAAGGTTGAAGATCTGTCTTATCATGATCGGTCGTTTCAATGTTACTAATGACTTCTCTTCCTCGCTCCGCTTCGTAGCATTCAACTGGGTTTTTACGACTTCTTGGTCGGCCGTCGGTCGAGATGTATGTCTCACAATGTGCCAAGCCCTGATTCCGTCGAGGTACTTTTTGATGGTCACCGAGTTTAGAGGTCTGTCTGGTCTGTCTCCTAGTTCTTTGCTTGATCCGCTCGCCCACGCGACGAAATCGTATATATCTTTGTCGATGATTCTATTGTCTGCGTTGAAAGATCCTGATGTTTTCTCTTTGAATTCTTTGAATTTCGAAACCCCAGAGTTGTAGCCTGCGAGGGTTGTTTTTGCCCAGCTACCGGATGCGGCATGACGGCCTGCTCTCGATGCGTTTGCTGAGGCGTCGACGAAGTGGCGGGGGAGATCTGGCATACTCTGGTCTGGTTCTGGGTTGGGTGAGGACTCGCCTCATCGCTCTTGCACCACCCGACCATGTAGGTCCTCCGGGATTTGGACAAGTACCATGTTTGAAACACGTTTCTTCGAATCGTAACCCCTCGATAGTCGATCCGCCGCATTATCCTCGGATTTCACCCTTCGCACCTCGATACAAGATTGGTCGTGGATCAACAGATGTTGCAGCTTCCGCCATTCGTTGTTGACCGCCCGATCTCGCGACTTTCCGTTTCTAATGGCGTTCTCTGTTACGGTGTTGTTGGTGAGCATGACAAACCGTCTTCCTCCTACCTCTTTCAGCTCTCTCAACATCAAATAACCTAACCGTGCTGCAACCGTCTTGGCCCACGCAATGCCACGCCGCAGGCCATTGTCAGAAGGTTCATCCCAGTCCGAGCAAAGGCAGAACTTTGCCCATCTCTTTCCTATTATTACGCCTATGCCGTAGGACGTCGAGGCGTCCCCTACCCATCCTACGTTCAGGATCTCGGGTCTAGGAATTACTCGTCTTGGTTGTGCAATTGTGAGTGCCTCTTTCCATTCTTTCAAGTCTTCCAGAACGCACGCCGGTGTTTCTCTTCTAGCTGACCTATGTACCCATTCCGCCATGTGATGGTGGATATCTACGCAATAGGCCCTCATCTGGGGGAGGACCATCGATGTGTGGTCTAATTTTCCTGCCAACCGTTGGACCTCTTTGAAGGTATGTGTCTTTGACAACATGAAGGTTACTATTTCCTCTAGTCGTTCCTGAACTTTTTCGGGTGGTAGCCGGACTGACTTCTCTACGCTGTTCCAAAAAAAACCTAGGTAACATTGCTCTTCCGCGAAGTCTTGTGCCTTCTCTACATTCTCTACGACCCCCATCTTCCGACTTAGCTCTGATTTCTGCGCCAACGTAACTGGAGACCTCGTGTGTTTTTGGCGGACGAACATCATGTCGTCCACCCAACGAAACGCTGCCGCTAAGGGGAAATTTGCCAGCATGACCGCCTTCCAGGCGTCAGCTACCTGGCCGAAGACGCCGCAACCTGCGACCCCTCCGGATGTGATTCGAGTATCAAGAAGAACTTGATCATCGAATGTCCTGATCATCAGGAACCTCCACTGGGCAGGGTCTGTCGGTATTTGCCGATAAGCCTTTGCCCAGTCGTAGATTGCTAACAGTAGCTCTTCTGTTGTCAAACATAGGAATTCCGCTACCACGTGGAAACTATCCCAGGTCGTCTCGAAATCCTCTTTATCTACGCCTTCATTTACGGATACTATTTCTGGGTCATTGCGCGGGAAGGATAGATCGTTGATCGGTCTCGTGGACCCGTTTCCGTTCACAACTGCGCTGATGGGGCTTGTTCGGAAGAAACCGATCTTAGCGTGCACCTCTTTCATCAAAAAAGGGCCTGCCATACGACCTGTGGCAAGTTCCACGGCGAAATTTTCTAGGATTTTCTCTTTGGCAGCCTCGGCAGAGGAGTGGTTTGGGGGTCAGTAATATGGTACATCTGGTATTTCAGCGTGGTGAATACCTTGGTCAAAGCCGTGTCTTAGTCCGTGTAAAATGTGTCTGTGTGAGTCTAGGAGGCCTGCCCGTTCAAGTTCTTCACGCCACACTGGCAGATTCATCTCACATGATGCTCTTGTGGGCCATCTCCTGGGGTCCATCATTGGCGCTCCCATTGGGCTAAGTTTTGTTGGGGATGACCTTAAGAATTGGCAAACAGGACGAACAGGGAGTGGGATTCACGGAAAAGTAAGTCTCATCATCTCACAACCTCATGTGTGGAACTGGGCAAAGGGTAGGGGTGAACTGGGGCATTCCGTTTCCGCGGGGCCATGACCAGACCCCGCCTTCTGGTTTCACTTGAAACGTGGACTTCAATTTCATTTGACTGTTAGCTTACGCGTATCTCCCTTTCCCCCTGCCTTTCCTGCCCCTAGGGCTTCGGCTTCTTGACGGGCTACACTTCCGGTATTTTCCTCTGTCTTCACGATGCGCTCGCCCACGCTCGTAGTCACGTTCCCGACCTCTGTCTCGATCACGGTCTCTATCCCGGTCTCTCTCTTCGTAAGTGTTCCTTCTGCCGCTCTCTTTTGCGCGTCGCGCTGTGGCCTCTCTTCGCTCAGCCTCTGACATTATCTTCCAGCGGGATGAAGGGATCCAGGAGTCATCTCTGGGGCGATCTCGGTCTGACTGGCGATAGGATGAAGTCGATGTGGTTGCCGCTTTCTTTGCTGAGGTGGAGGATGACGTGGTTCAAGCTAAACCGGTGAGAGGATTGAGGTGTGCCAGGGGGCCACCCGACGCGTAGGGGTTTGTCCAGTAGGCCATTTCTTGCAATGAGTATGCGACCAGTTTGGCGTCTTCGAAAATCACCGTTTGTAGAGTACTGAAGTTTCTGATCCGATTATCAACTGTCTCTCTCATCACCCCTTGACGTATACGGACACAGTATCTCAATCCTACCATCCATCCAAATTTCTCCCGGATGCCCATTACCACCTTTCGATGGCCCTCGAAACGCTCGGCTAGTGTTTGCCAACCCGCCTCCGCCACGTACTTAATGAAGAGATCCATACAATCGATCCAATCCTCAAACTGCATCGTCAGTTCCTCAGGAGGAGGGTTTCCGCCGTAAACTCGTAGGGACGCACTGCCCTCTTCAATACGCGATTCCGAGGGTGCTTTCCTACGGCTCCATTCGGTGTGGTCGTCCGCGAGGAAGTATCGATTGAATGTTGTCAAAGGGATGTACGACCTGAAGGTCTTCAACCATTGGGTGAGTACTGGGGAGAGCTGTGTCAAACTCTTCTCCATCTCTTCTGTTGTATCTGCGACTAACAGTCTCCCGTTTTCTACGACGTCGCCGTTTCTCAGGACTAGACGCCCTTTCTTTGTGGCTAGCAGCACTTTGACCATCTCGGCCTCTTCCTCGGCAGATAACCCGTTCGTGTTTTCGGGTGGTGGTCTCGCTGCTTGGGTGACTTCGCCGCGGCTTTGAAATGGCTCTTGCCTCTGGGTACATCTTGGTGGAGGTGCCTCCCTTGTAGGTGACGGAGTCCTGCGAGGTGGAGGTGCCTGGTCTGGTGAAGGAGGTGAGGGGAACCGGCTTCGTGGAAGTGAGAAATGGTGGTTCCTTGGGGGGGACAAGCCATGAGGGGGTGCTAAGGACCTCGTCGTTGGTCTTTGCCTCGGTTGGGTGTCTTCTTCCAATTGGTGAGTTGGTTGATGCCAGCTCGGCTCCTGTGGAAAGCGCTGCGCTAATGGTAGGCTACTCCTCGTGTCTGGGCTGGGCTCTTCCGCAATCAAGGTGTACGGGCGGGCGTTGGGTAAACCGCTTCTACTTGCGAGTGGGGTTTCGTGTCTTAGGCCGCTACCGCTTGCTTGTGGCGCTGCGTCGATGTCCTTCGGCCCGGAGTTTGAGCCCAAGAGATAGTTGAGTAAGGCATTTCCTTCTGCAAAACGGTGATCGGCGAAAAGCTGTGCAACCAATTCATTTGGGTTTTCTAACGGAACTGTTCATGATTTAAACACATTCCTCCATCAGTCTCTTGTTTGTCGACACGTGTCTAGGATCGATTTCCACCCCACCCCTCGCCACCCTATCTCTCTAGGTTCTGTGGCTCCTGAGGATCAGTTTCGGTACCCAGCAACCCTATATCTAGGTTCTGTGGGTTCAAGGGATCACTGTTGGCATCCGTCTTCTGGTGGCTCATGGATCTCTGCCTTGCCCCCCCCGTCGGGAATCATGGCTATCTGCCTCCCGCCCGGGTTCTGGGACTTCCAGTTTTGGGTTCGAGGGTTGAGACGTGGATATTTGGGTGTGGGGGTGGGGAGGTATTGTACGTTTCTCTGCAGAAATTTAATCTTACCTGATCCTTTCCGATAAGCTGACTGGTCTTCGTCGCCAGAAGGGGTTGGGCTAGTGTGGCTGTGTGCCTTGGCCTTTCCCTTCTCGACTGAGGGTCTCCAAGAGATACGGTCGTCGTCGTCGGAGTCGATGGGTGGGACTAAGAGTAGCTGCGCCCCAGTTGGCTTGTCTTGGATTCCCTCAAGAGCTAAGCCGTCTAGGTCTTCCTCTTCTCGTGTGTTCTCTACGTTTTCGCTGTCGACTTGTTCGCTGATTTGGGCTAGCGACTGGCGAGCATTTGTTGATCGGCGAGGGGTGGCAAGAGGAGGGCCTGGAGGTAAACTGAGGGCCACTGATCTAGCTCTGGTCCAGGCTGGAGGTGGTGTTCTCTCTGCCGTGCCCGCTGGGCCTGTGGATTGTGATTGGCGAAAGTTTGATGCCACTGGTTGTTCCCTCGTCTCCGTATAAGCGATCACTCTCTCTGTCGCTTCCGTCACTGCTTTGTCCATTTCTTGCTGGTTGTTTACTTCCATCTCTAAGGCCTGATTTATCAAAACTTATCTCACCGATGAATTGTGAGATTGTGGAAAACTTGAAATGTCAGATCAATTGTGATCACAGTGAAAGGTGTCGAGGGAAGGTGAAGTGGTGTCGCACGTATAGTCTTGGCTAAGAGATTTGAAAATCTCTTTGCCGTGCGAGCCTTTCACCGCCTCACCTTTCACAGGTCGCCCCAAGATTTCATGGACGTTTGAACCACCTGTGTTATGGTGGTTCGGATCATCCAAAACTTGAGCGCCAGCAAAAGGACAACCAAAGGGAAAGCTCACTGCAAAAGGCAAAGTCAGTCGTTTAATTAGGCTACGTTTGGCTGGGGTTAATTAATTTAATGTGCCTTAAAGTCAAGTGCATTTTGTTGCCACAAAATGCGTTAATTTTATTTTTCTCCTTTTTTGAATTTTTGTAACTAATGTACCTTATAATGCAATTCATGTTTGGCTGAAGTTGATAAGATTTGATCAACTTCAATCATCATTACCTTTCTTGACCACCATTTCAAACTTAACTCCTTCATCTCAAAAACCATGTCAGACTCTGACTTCTCATCTGACAAAGATCAATGGACCTCCTCGTCCTCGTCATCGTCATCGTCAGCTTCCTCAGACAGCAATGAAGAACTGATGGAGCTCCTCATCGGTGCTGCTCGTGATCGTATTGAACTAGCAAATCGCCCCAAAATTCCGTGTCGGACGTCGGCACATACAGGCGCTTTGTATGTGTGTGAGGTTCACGAAGGGAGCCCAGTATGCTTCCGAGAATTATGCCGAATGAACAAAGTGGCATTTAATGGCCTAGTGAGACATCTTCAAGGAGACCTCGAGGATACCAAACATGTCACCATCATGGAACAAGTGATGATATTTCTTTTTGTGGTTGGAAATGCTGGGTCAAACGCTCTCGCCTCCAAGAGGTTTCAACATTCTGGAGAAACAATCTCACAATATTACAATAAGGTCCTCTTGGCTCTTGAGAATCTAGAATCTCGATTGATCATCCAGCCGAATCCAGGAGCTCCAATTCCACAATCTATCAGTAGCACTCCAGTCCTTTATCCCTGGTTTCAAGGATGTGTTGGAGCTATTGACGGAACCCATATTCAGGCAATTGTTCCAGAGGCCGACCAGGCTCCTTATCGTAATCACAAAGGCACCTTCAGCCAAAACGTGCTGGCAGCTTGCGACTTTGATGGAAGCTTTACCTTCATCCTTGCAGGATTTGAAGGCAGAGCACATGATAGCCGGGTTCTTCAGGTAGCCCGTCAAGACGGACGCTTCCTAGTTCCACCAGGTACGTCAATTTTCTTGAAGAACTCTTTGTCAGAAACTTTCTAACAAAAATTTACATATATAGGTAGATACTACCTTGCCAATTCTGGATTTTCCAACCAAGAAGGCTTCTTGGCTCCTTACCGAGGTGTCCGCTATCACCTCAAGCAGTGGAGCTTGGGTAATTGGCGCCCTCAAGACTACAAAGAACTCTTTAATTTACGACATTCAGGTATGCGTAACGTTGTGGTGATCTATTTATGATATCAAGCAAGAAAATTAATCATCTTTAATTTACCAATTTATTAGCAAACTTCAATATAGCAGAGAATTCGAAATTCAGGTTTTCAGATCAATTGAAGCTCTTAGAGGCTTATGTATACTTATTAGCTTATTATTATGTCATATTATTTCAAAATTATTATTAAGATCAACATAGTTTACTTACAAAGTTATTACAAAGAGACAGAAAAAGAAAAGATAAGAAAAATTCGAAAATATAGGTGTAAAAGTTGGAAAATGGTTTTTAGCTTATTTATAATTAAGTTATGGGTTTTATGAGGTTAGAATATGAAAGAACAACAGTTTATTATACAGGAACAATTTTAATATTCAAGGTTGATAAGGGGAAACAAGAGTTATTAGGGAAAAGGCACTTTTTCGAAGTTGGTAAACAAGAGGTACACGTGTAGTTTAGTTGTGTAATGGTGGTAGTGATGGAATTTAAGGTTGCCAAGAGGATTTTCCGGGATTTTTAAGGTTATAGAAGATGATGTCATATTACATGAGCAAGAAAAAGAGAGTAGCAGCTGTGAAAAGTGAAGAAAATAGGTGAAAGTCGTCGAAAATGGAGGTTTTCAGCTAATTACATATGTTAAATGACGTCAGATAAAGTTGGTAGATAGCTCATTCAACGCAGAAGAGTGGATTACATAATGCACAACCTTTAAATCATTAGTAACGGAGGTGTATGTAAAAAGTTATAAGGGAAATAAGAAATTGGTGTGAATCTCGAATTTACAGTCACAAGTCACATGTAACACCAAAAACCTTAACTTCACAACTCAATATCTTACTCATAACTCATCAGAAGTAGGTCATGTAGGTGTCAGAAATGATCAGTAACACGTGGGCTACAAGATGCACTTTAGTAATCAAACATTGGAGCACATCCGAAAAAATTCGTAATCTCAAAAATTGGGTTTCAGCTAGTTTACAAGGAAAAAATCACCTGTATTCATCATAAGAAGTGCTGTACATCATATTATTGCGTCATTGATCACTTTTGGCTGTGAAAATTACATCATACATTAGTAACAAGATCATTACATTGCGTCATTACATGGTTTTTAGGGTTATTTAGGCGGATTTGATTGGTTTTTGAAGCTGTTGACTGTTGTAAAAGTTGTTACATGTGGATATAAGTACTCCTTGATGATTTTAGGATTGTAGCGCCCTTTTCTGCATCTTATACCTTTGTTGTAGTGTTATAAATCATCATTTATTTACTATATTTGTACTAAGATCACTTAAATCCGCCCCTTCAAAGCAAGGAGAAATTTATTTACGTGTGTTAAAGACTACAAGTCTAATTGGGAATAATACTTACAACAGTATTGCTAGTAATAAACATAGTGTGTGACTTTTTTGCGCTTAAAATCTGGGAATAATACTTAACAACAGTATTGCTTTATTTTCTCTGGTGCTTTATCTATTTCTCTGTTATCACAAAGTGGTCAGCAAGTGCCCTTGTGCTGATTTCTTTGAAGAAGGCAGTCTTTAGGCAACTTCTACTATATTACACGTAGTAGATTATCCCTTCTTAGGTGTTGTAAAGCTCTTGTTGAGCTTTAAATACTACAACGTGATTGAGCGTGTTTTCGGAGTCTTGAAGATTCAATTCAACACCCTGGTACACATGCAAAGGTTTCCTGTCCCAAGACAAGGGGCACTGGTTGTGGCTTTAGCAGTACTTCACAACATCATCAGGCAAAGCGGTGAAGACTTTTTTTTTGAAGAGTTTGATCGACAAGAAAGAGAACGTCAACTTACCTGGGACAAGGCTCAAGTGGTGGCTTACTGTGCACCAACAGCTGTGAGAGGGCCAATGCTAGTGAAGATCATGATACTTTAGCTATGGCCATGTGGCTTGATTACCTATTGCATCCTCATCGTGTTTAGGGAAACTTGTATAGTTTATTCACTAAAACTCATAGTTTGTATTTGAAAAGAGAGATAAAATGTATCATATATACTAATGTTTGTATCACAAGAACTTTTGTAACACAGTATTTTAATAAAGATAACTTTTGATCACAACAACTTTTGACTATTGAAAGCAATAACTTTTGAAAACGATAACTTTCCAAGGTTGAAGAGTTGAGGATTGATTTCCCTTGATGAATACCTGTCTTCTGAAAGATTGATAAATTTGAAGCAAGAATGTGTCATCAGTAAGACAAGCTTTCAAAAAGGGATACATCAAAAGCGTTGAGACAATACCTTCATAAGCTTACAGTTCATTCCTTCTTCTTCTTGAGTTCATCAAGCTTTTCTTTCAACCACTTAAAACAGAGATCGTCTTCTAATTCCATAAAGAATTCAGCATCTTCCTCATTTCTTAAGATTTTAGCTGCAGCCATACGATCCGAGTCTTCTGGAAAATTCTGTTTACTAGCTTCTTTGAAGCGCGCCATAGCTGAAGGTTGATATTGTTGAGGAGGTGGAGGGTGAAGGGCCTCCCTTTTGATCCCTGCTGCTTCAACAAGCGCTTCAGCTCGAGCATCAGCTGGAGCATCTTTTCTATTCTCTTTTTCAATTAGAGCTTGAGACTTGAGTGCTGAATTCTCTGTAATTTGCTTGAGTGAAGTCGCTAGATTTACCGGTGGCTTATAAGAGCCACTTGGCTTAGATGATGATGCAGATGTGGGTTTGAGGTTGGGAACATGATTAGATGAAGTGAATGGTTTCTTTGAAGTCGAAGCTGCAGAGTGATCAGCCTTTGAGGTCTCTACTGGATTGGATGTATTAGGGTGAATTGCTGGTTTAGAGGTGATGGACGAGTTGGAAGGTCTTGGTGGGAGTGGAGGTGGGAGTGGGCAATCGACATCCTTGACTCCAGGGGGGTCATCTGTGATGGAGTAGTGAAGAATGGAAGTAGTGAGCTTTTGAAGTCAAGTATGAAGAGAAACACACTTACCTGCTAAGTCGATGACTGTTCCTTCCTCACCTCTTTCAACAGGCTCATCTTCACTGTTGTCGAGTGCCTCCTCAGAGGCTGTTAGTGAATACTTGCGTTTCAATTTCTGCGTACTAGTTCCTGTTTGATTAGCACCAGCAATCGGAGTAGAACCTAAAAGATAGTTCATTGGTTCAAAGTACTGAAATCCATGATCCTTGAAGATCTGGGATCCTGGGTGTCCCTTTAACAGATTGTGAGATTGATCAATGGTGGTTGCTGAGAGAGATTGAGTTGAGATGACCTACACGGATCCAACCATTCCAGAACTCTGCATCTCCCTCAACAATCTGTTTTGCTTCATTCCAGCCCAAACCCGATCCTTCTTTGAGATCACGCATGAGACCATATTGACGCTTGAGCTGTGAAAGAGCAAGACAAACTAATCAGTCAATGTAGATGGTTTCAGAAGTGATATAGAAAGACTTGGAATAGCTTACAGTAGCAAAATGGTTTTTGAGTTGAGCAATACTGAGATCAAGTTCATATGTATCATTTAAATCTGTTGTAGCTTTGCCCCAAACCAATGGCGGAAAATTGTTATCAGATTGATCATTGTCTTGATTACCATCTAGAAGTGAGTCAATTAGTGTGCGTGTTTGGATTTCAGTCCATTTGGCTTGAGGCTTGGGAGCTTGGGAGCTCGACTTGGGTGGTCGACCCATTGATTGAATGATTGATGTCCTGTTTGAGTTTTGAATCTGGAAGGTGAAATGTAGGAGTCAATTTGTGAATGCAAATTTGTTCAGTATTTTGGGGGTCAAGGATATCAATTGGGAGGAAACCAGTTTGAGGGAAATAGAAATGAAATTGGACACAGTGGGATGGGCTTGAATCTTATCAATCCCCATCCCAAAACCATAAGGTCAACCGTGAGGAGCTGGGGAGGTGGCAGCCTGAATCTTATCAGTGCGCTTGGATTTCCCAGCTTGAGGGATAGACTGCTGGATTAAAGAAATGGAAGGAGTTGAGATGAAAAGATCTCCTTTAATTACCCTTGAGTGAAATCAAAATGTGAAGTGTAGAAAGGAAATCGAGTGTTGAAAGGGTTGAATTGAAGGTGAAAGGTTTGGATGGGTTGAATCCAAGGGAAGTGGTGAAAGGGTTGAATCGATGAGAAGAGTGGTGAGATTTGCAAAAAAAAGACAAGTACAAATTTAGCGAAGGGAGGACCAATGGACGGGTCAAGAGGTAAATTTGGTTGGGGGATCAAGGCGATTTAATGGATTAATGCACCTTTTGAGCAAAATAATCGACTGTCGAGTCGATTATTTTTGAGTGCATTATTGGTGCATTTTGGGCAGTTTAAGTCGATTAAAATTTTGCATTAAATCCCAGCCAAAGCACTTTTTTTTAATGTGCATTAAATTCGAAATTTAATGTAATTTTGGATTTAAGGTACATTAAAATGCACCAGCCAAACGTAGCCTAAATGATTCTGATTTCACAAACTACTTTTTTCGATCATTGGTTCTATAAATATTGGACACTTGAATGTGAGATAAACTTGGTGTTAAGCCATCGGTATCTTTTTTTTGCTTTGTTTCATGGTTTCTTTCATGAGGCGTTCTAACCACATCAAACCAAATCGTGGAGTTGTTTGCGTAGGGTTGTAATGTTGTGCTTAAGACAGTCCCTACGTAAAACAATTCCCTATCATCTTTTTTTGTAACTTTTGTAAGCTTTATGTAGTCTGATGATTTGGTTTATATCAGACATCTGAATGTGAGATGGTATCCTTGGTGTTCTATCATCGTGGTCTCATTTTGGCCTTTGTTGAAATTTTGTTTGATGAAGTCATAACCACATAGAACCACATATGTAGAACCACATTTTTTGATCATTTCTTGGACAGATATATATATATATATATCTATATATATATCGCCGAACACCCTTCACCCCTCACATTTACCAAAGGTTTTGAACTTTTGGGCACTCAATTTAGGGAAACCATAAACAGGGGTCGACGCGTTTTACATATACAGATGGACAAGATGCAGTGTTATTTTAAAATTGTCACTTGCGGCAATTCAAAATGAACCCAGGTTGTATGATGATTCCATATACGGCTGACCATAAATAAGGCGCAGGAGTCCGCAAGATTTGGCTCAGTTTTGATCGTGTGGTTCAAGATCCTTGAGTCATTTTGGTGTGTACTTACAACACCCGACGTCAGCGCAGTACAGCGCAGAATGCGCGAAACTGCGCTGCGCCAAAAAATCGAAAATTCCAAAACCCACTGCGCTGCGCTAGGGCGCAGTGACCCAAAATCTTTGAGGCCCCTGCGGTGCGCTCCAGCGCAGGTAAGTCCAGCGCAGCGCAGTGGGCAAAAAAATTGTTTTTCTGGCGGATGGAAAGCCCATTTTTTCAATTTTCCATTGGAGAAGTGACACATCCACTGCGCTGCAAAAAGGCGCAGTGGCGAAAAGTCGAAAAGCCCCTGCGCTGTGAAAAGGCGCAGTCGCCATATTTTCAAAAACCCCAGCGCTGTGCCACAGCGCAGTCGCAGGCTGTGCCTCGCAGTCTGCGCTGCGAGTCGGGTGTTGGTACTTATCATTAACCAAAGACAATATTGATCAGGTGATTTAGATATTTTTCAAGCAAGATCGAATGGCCTGTTCGCGTCGAAGTTTTCATAACGCCGAGTATCTCTATTTGATCATGTTTTGAGCTGTTTGTATGCATATGTACTAGAGCTAAATCATGATGGATGGAGGTCGAGGGCCAGATCATGTACCAATATAGTCAATTCAGATGACAAAGTTGAGGCACCGCACCGAGACTCCGAGAGGATCAAATGGGTCACAAGCTCCTGATTCTTTCTCTTTTGTGTTGAGGGTGCAGACGAAGTCATGACTCATGACGCCATAGAAATACTTGATGATGACGCATACTAAAAATACTCTCACAATTGAGAAATTAGAATAGATCGCGGGTCTAGCCGGGGCTACAGATCAAAGCAAAGCGGTGCCAGTGGTGTTTTCTCTACAAAGCACCGATCAAGATTCAAGAGTCAAGACTGATCACTCATGATCCTCCTCTCTCGACGGAGCTGTTCTATGTTCAATTATATTCAATCATGAGCCGGCACACGCACCAGCTGTCAGTCTATGTTTGCCGCTACACTGCCACTCGGTGATGATCCACCGTTGGATGATCAAGTGAGCAAGAGAGGAGAGTCCATTCAGAAGTTACTTGACTCACGAAAAAGGCGTACATCAGTATCTCCTCTGCCTGTGGAAAAGGTATAAATTCGGTGGACTCTGGCCTGGTATTCGGTTTCCATCATCCACAGTTCGTCCATTGCTTAAATCGTGCTTCATTACAATCATCTAAATCTAAAAACACCCATCTCATCATCATCACCATCTAAAGTCAAATCAGACTAAACCAAATCCAAACATGTTGTTTTCACGTTATATCACCTTTGCGGTCATCCTTGCTTTTGCAATGGTCTTCAACGTTGCCATGGCCGGTCGTAAGTCCAAATCCTTAATGTCATTGACATCCTTTGCGCGTCCTTGCTGACTTTTTTTTTATAATTGACTTCAAAAGCCTTTCCGTCCTTCATAACTACAAGCCAATATGTGAATTGGAATCCAAGCCTATACGCTTGGAATTCTCAATATAACTGTCCAACCTACAATCAACAACCATTGTTTTATTTAAACAATCAATATTTCTATGAGCTTGGAAATATTCGATACTATGTTCCAGGTAGTACTTTATCACCCAACATTTGTTTAACATACCCTGTCAATACTTGGACTCCATTCAATTACAATGGATATTCCGCCTGGAGCTGGAACAGCCTTAAGCTCCGTTACAATAATGGATGGAACTTTTTTTGAAGAAGAAAAGGTTTGTACGTTTTTTTTTGAAAATCAAAGAGCTGGATGACTGATTTTGTTTCGACTTCCTTTTTATTCAGTCATCAATGATAGCTAAGCAAATGTAAAGGTCAAAGCAAAGTTTCTTCGGTTTTATGTGTAGTCCATGACCCAGACATGTGAAGGTTGTATATGTAGTCCTTGATCCTAAACCTTTGCAGCTCTATTGACTGTCAGTTTCCACGTTTTTTTATCTTTTCCCATTATCTTGTTCTCGTCGTTTCACATATTTCATACATCATTATCTTGAGAAGGACTGTGTGGTAAACTTGAGAAATGTTTTCTTCCCGAGCTCATTTCTTCTGTTTTGCTTTTTGTATAAAGTCTCACTTATCTCTGTATGCTGTCTCTGTGATCGTCTGTGTCTTGAAATCTGTGTTCGGTATCTCGTTCTGATCTATTGACTTGCACGAGTTTATGGTGTTAGAAATGAGTTCTAAACACAAGTTCTGAAGTCTACTTCAAGCCCGTTGGACATTGCATATCTCCGTCTCTACCTGACATGTGGTGGTCATAGTCCACAAGTTCTACCTTTCCATGAAAGTAAGAAACAACTATAACACACGAGCTGGACATAATATGTCTGTGAACGAGTTGATCTGAATGCATATATGTAAACTTTCCAAATCCAGCAATACAAACGAGTCCACAAGATACAAAAGTCAGGTACCAGTGATTAAAACGAAAACAACAAAATCTTCGGAATAGAGAAGAATTCAAAGCTTATGCTTATAATGAAGAATGTCGACGATGAGACTGACTAGTCCTTGATGCAAAGGAGAAAAATGACCCATCTATGTATCAAGGTTGATTCGAATCTACCTCTGATCACGATGGCTCTGAATTATGTTGAACGACATTGTCTGAGATCTTCAGAAAATACACTACAACTGTGATGTGCAAGTAGATGAGATAGCCTACACCACCATTGATATTTGAAAAGGTTTCCACAGACTTCCCGTATTTCCCGTATTTCATCACGATCCCGGCTTACAATGTTCCTATATCAAAGTCAAAACATCCCATTAATAAAAGAAGACCGCAAGATAGAAAGACGTTGACAAAGATTCAAACTTGTGAGTACTATCACTCACAGAATCAATTGGAGAGTTCCACCACGATTCCCTAGCATGAAGACCCAATAGATAGACCACCAAAGCATTCACACTTGTACCAGCATCAAGCGCACCTGAGAGAATATAGTTATACTTTCCTCGTCACAGATAGTAGAAGTATACCAAAGATTTTAGCTGAGTTACATTCGTGACTAATGTTAAATGAGACATACGTCATGAAACCAAGCTGTACGACGCCGTAAGGCCCAATACTGGGACAAGTACGCGCAGAGAAACCCCCCGATGATGCTGACATAATACACAATTTTTCAAACCGCAGCTTCGAAATCAGTCAGGAGATCAGAGAAGATGATAACGAGGGATAAGTGGAACTCACACGTTGTTAGGGTTCCTAGGTGCTTGAATTGCGCCGTGAAGAAATACTAACAATATTCAAACACATGAAACACAAGGGCATCCAAATTCAGAAGGTCGTCTTGCAGGACAGATTCGATTGAACAAAACCCACATGGTACACTGAAATACTTCCATGCGATTCTAGGAACTTTCTTGGAAAGGTACCAAGGAATGAGTGGTAGTACAAATCCTAATGGGATCCCTAGGAGTAAGATGGTATATCGACCCGAAAAAAACCTAAAAGGACCAATTAGTCCAGCTGAGTTAGATGAAGAAAGTTTATAAAGAATAATGTTAACAAGCTGAAGAATTAAAAGTAGCAAGCTTGATATCCTAGGCGTATACATAACATCACACAAAGCGCACCAACCACACTTCCAGAGTAAAATAACTCTGGCTTCCGTCCGGTCCATTGTCCTGTTGGATCAGCTATAGTTCCATCTAGATATTCTCGCTTATCAGCAATCACCAATCGGATGAAGATATAATTTACTACAGCTCCTATTGCAGTACCCATGATTCTGAGTGCGAGAATCGTTCGACTGGCATTAATCTCTGCTAAATTCAAATTGAAGATTCGGTCTCAACACTTACTGACTGATGAACATGTCCTTCGGCGGGATTTCTATAAGATCAACGGATGTGTGATGAGTCCACCATATTCTCATCATTGTAAATTTAGGGAGAGCATCTCAATGAGACAGAGCACTCACTAGCATATATACCAAGCTTTAAGTCTGCAGCCAGGTCTAAGCATTGGTGCATAGTCATATAACCATATCTGGTGAAGAGACATCAAGAGTCAGCATGGTGTGTGGAGTTCCGGTCGAGTTAAACCTGTGACTTACACTTTGAAGACGACATTAGCTAGAGGCTTTCCCCTAAGAGAATCCGTTTATGATAAAACACATCAGATTCCAAAATGCCCAGTTCACGAGCCTTATGAGACATCGTAGACACTCACGGAAACAAGATACCTGCCATAAGCTCAGCTGAGGAGTTGTCAATAAGCGACCGTCAACGTCCATTCACAGAGAAGATGGCAAACAAGGGTAAAGATCGACATATTAATCTGAATGGGTGGGTCTTACTGATGGCATGCAAGCCAATATTGGTGTTCGAGGTGGCTTTGACTTTGAAGCAAATACAATTGATGGCGGGTATAGCGCACCTGTCAGTATCTGGGGCGCAGTAAGATCAGATCACTCGCTGCACGCACTTATACCAAGTGGGATCGTAAAGGTCATGGCCTACAAGGATAAACGTGGATTTGGAAATGATGGAAGCAATGAGACACGTTTTCTTCGTAAGCTATAAAACATTTTTGGTGGTTTGACTCACCAATATAAGAGCAATGACGAGTCCCCATACAGGAATCTAGTAATTTACATGAACCGTTACTTGTCGTTTGCTGAAAACAAACAAAACGTAACGAAGTTCCACATATGACTGACCTGCAAGGGATAGACGATGACTACGTATAGAGCAGCGATACCCATGGTTGTCGAAATCGTGATATACCACGAGGCAGGAACCATGTCATAATTCCTCTCCACCATCTCTACATGAACATCCTAGTGTCAGGTGACAATGGTCAAGGAAGTCATACATGTCAATCATTGGCATTTGTAGAAAGTTAAGAGATAAAGATGAGCGTACAGAAGAAACCTTTGATCTTGCGTCCATGGCCATTCGAATATCATCCCAGTGAAAGAGAAGCACTGTAGTGATAGCTGAAGTTAGAACGGCGAAACTGATGCCATAGTATAGTGCATAATATGGTGTCAATTGGATCGGTCCCATCTCCGCGTATCTAAAAGTTTGAATTCAGAACAGATTATATAAAGTGAGCATCATGACTCCATACGACAGTTGTGCCTACTCTACTAATCATGTGATACTCAAATATATAGGCTTACTTCTCCAGATCCAAAGTGAGATCAGGCTTCACAACCGCACTGACGTTATATCTTTGAAATTTAGAATCAAACATATGGGCTGAAATTGCATTATCACCAAAGCTTTGATACTACGCATCTCAAGCCCCACAAAGGATTTTCCTAAGAATTCAATTCGATTCTTTGCAAAAAGGGACATCATTAAAAAACAATGGGTACACACATTCCAAAAATCAAAATACCAGAGTAACGGTACAAGAAGCCACATTGACGAAATCAATCCAGCAAAATAATTGCAGGATGAATAAAACGGAGTTTGTAAGGAGGTAGACGTGATCACCGCCCAATCAAAGCTAAGCGTAAATAGACCAACTCCCGTATCTGAAGAAGGGGTGAAGATAAGAATCCAGAATTCCGAATACGTTCAAATTCATTGATCTGTCTAACTCACATGCAGATCCAAGTACTCGCATAAACTGGCTTTTATTATTGATTAAGCATAAGACGGCAATACTACTCAAGGTCGGAGCAAATACCGTGGGCAGGAACTTGAATTGATGACATGCGGCAGAAGTCAAGGTAATATCAGCCTCATGAATGACAAACCTTCAGAATTCTCATGGGAAGACTAAGGAACTCACCTGATAGATAGTGATTGCAACAAAGACAATCAAAAAGAATCGAAATCTTTTAGTCATGACATCATCTTGTTGAGCCACCTTTTTTCTTGTTGTACCACCCGCTTTGGAATGTAATGTGTTATAAGTTGACATGATCACCAAGGATGAAGGCCAAACCATAATCGTCGGTCGGACCAAAAAACTGTAGGTAAGTCCAGCAAGTCCAAATCCGAGTAACTGTGTGCTCAGGACTAGTAAGAGTCCTCCAACGTGGTCAATGTCTTGCTGTGTGATACATATCATCAGGAAAAATTAATACATATTTCGAATATCTAGATGAGATATGAAGGTCAAGTAGCTGACGTGGTAGTATAAATCCTGTACGGCCACAATGTCTCCTGCATAAGCGCTTCCAGATGCACCCGCAGCGAGAACACCGATGAGAAGGTGCTCTTTCAGCGTAAAAGGACCAGGGTTTAACCTGAATCTCCATGTCTTCGAGAGTCTGATAGTCCATTTCGGAAGTAATCGTTCCAAAGCCTTCCCCACTGTTTTCCATAGAATGAGGTCAGTGTGGTTTGATTATCTGATTGGAATCACCAGATATGGCCAAGGAATATGACTCAACTAGGATAACTGACGAGAATGATGAGAAAGTTATTGAAACCGATCCCATTACTTTTGAAGAAAAAGATTTGACCCACGGCAGCGCCTGTACAACCGAGTAGACCACCTAATAAAAAAACTCTAAAAGAAAGCGTTGTCTGTCGAACATCGTCATCCAGGCTAACTACATTATCGACGATCGAATGACTGTTCGACCGGGAACGAGGTCGAAGTGAAACCAATCCAACATCCTCAGATGAGGAAGCAGGACTATCCAGCCCAGAGATAGGAGGGTATTCTGGAAATCCTTCGTCGTCTACCTCTGAATCGTGGAATTGAGACTCGATCAACCTCGCAGCTTCTTGATCGTTGCTAGACATTCCCGTTGCGTGCCCTGAGCAGATTTACCAAAATCGTCGACGCTTCTAATTCCTGAGACTAGGTGTTTTTCAATAATTTCGAGCAACGTCGGGTCTTGTGCTAGGATCGAGGGAAGAAGGTGAGTTGAGACTCGAGAGGATCGTCAAAGAATGCTGAAGTTGCGCAGACCGTGACGCTAAAGGTCGCTGCTGTGACGACCGGTGACGCCCCGACTGCGCCGTGTGGTACATGATACCACACATGTACGTACAGGCCTAGCACATAATCCATGTTCGGTTGAACGGAAGGAAGAAAGGTTGAAGAGGTTGATAATATCTGCGAAGCTCAGCAAAAATCAGAGAGGCTCAGCAAAGCTCAGCAGAGGAGTAATGATGTAGAGCAGCTGCAAGGTTGTGCCGAGCCTTCTGTAAATCGATGGTCCCGAAAAATCAAAATGATCATCTTTCCACAGTAGAACTTCGATATATAATCAAACAAATCCCCACTTGCAAGTAACGGCACTCCATTACCTTCATATGCTCTAGGTTTCATACCAACAAAGCCTTTGAGCAACCCTCACCCCTCTTTCATGCCTAGGAAGCCAACACTATTGTGAGACAATCTGGAAATCATTGCTCTCCTTAGGTCATTTGAAAATATTTGATTTGACTCAATTCTTAGCGATTCGCCTATGCGACTTTCACGGAAAGGCTCTACGTAGGAGTTCAGATTTCTAAAGGAAATTGAGTGCATGATGTACATACATATCAAGTTCTTCACGCCGCCTTCGGCTGACAGATCCTTGCTTTAAACGAGGCGTTCCCAAAGAAAGCTTTGGCTAAACTTACGCGCCAACTTACAACTTCAGTTTTGGCGAGAGACGTTGGAAAAAGTCCTTTGTAGTCTGCAATCCAACGGAAGAATAGGAATTCCGCCGGAGAGGGTGGCGCCGTAGAATTTTCAATTGGTTGCTTTACAGGAGCACAAGTTGTGCTTAGTTGGTGCTTAAATCTGTGAGAAGAGCAATCAACTCGAGAGGTCAGAGGATGTCAGGACATCCTGTCGCTCTCGTCATCACCGTAAGACTGTTCCAAGCACTTTTTGATGACGAATTCAATTTGCTTGATTATCTTAAGCCACAATCTTGTCATGACTGCTGATACACAAACTGAAGAGTCAATGCACGAAGCATATGGCTTCTTCCAACTTGCTCCTCTTATCGTTCAAGCTCAACAAATCCCTTCCAATAAAGCCTCTTCCGGCAGACTAAAAATATATCACTTTGTACATACTCGTGTGACACAAGTTGCTTGTATAAGAAAAATCGACGCAATAGCACAAATCGGAAGGACTCAACAATAATACATCACCATACTTACCCATAAATTCTTCTCCCATATCTCTCTAGAGAAAAACTGTCGCGTCAACAAAAGACTCAACTAACAATGTTACTTTGAGCTGTTAATCAGTTGATATAATGGTTTTACAGCCAGGTATTCTAGCAAGAACCAACCTGCAAGCCCAGAAATCGAGTATTCAGATCACCGCGTCCTCAGTACTCCATGGGTGCTGCAGAAGCCATATCTTGATCGAACCTTTGAAAATGGTTCTGATGGTAGATACATTGTTAGCCGATTGATCCTAATGGCTCTTATAGACTTCAAAACCTGTTACTCTTACCAACAGATAACGAGGCGAGTCTGCATATTCAGCACCCCTGATCTTGATTGTATATGCAGCATCCTCAATCTTTTTCAATGAACTTCGCATTGTAGACACTTTCAAAAAAACGCAATACGATATGGTATCAGCATACTCTTCAGATGATACAAACGATCAACTGATTACTTTTTTGTTCAAAGCGATATAGGTTAGGTACCAGTCCTTCCAACTCTATTATATTTGGATGTAAGATGGTGATGATAAGTAGGAAGATAATAAACATGGTCAATTTCAAGTGGTGACCAAGACACGAAGAGGAAAGGAGAACAAGAGCAAAGACTAACGGAATTTCAAGCTTCGGATAAAATCAATAGCCTCTTTTGTCACTTGTGCTCCTCTTTCCGCTCCATTGCCCAAAGAATTAATTGCATGACTATAAGAGAGATCACGAATTAAGAAGATGATCACTATTTAAACCCAGCATTGCTGGAATGGTTCAAAACAGAGATGAAAACAAGAACCGAGGTAGTCCTAATTTACCGCATAAGTTCACCTGTTAGATCAGCAACGCCTCCTAAGTAATCTTCAATGGTGATGGTGAGCATAAACTTTGGGGCCGTCTCGGATGGAGCCTGAGGGAAGCTTTGGAGGTACTCTTCAATCTCGTCTTTGGTAATCAATGTACGTGTGCGCAGATACTCGCAGTACGTTTTCGCTTCAATCTGAGCGGGATGGTCGAAGGATGAAGGAAGTATTGGTTCAGGATCCCTATGATCGAATAGAAGATAAATACATACGAATTCTTGAATACCAGGGGATATTGATCGATAATACCTAGGGAGCAAATTGTCATATCGTATCAGGATCAAACCTCTAGAATCAAAAGAAGTGCAGGACAATAAAATGACCTGAAAAACTCATCAGTCGAGCTTAGTTTGCTAGAAACCATCCAAATCGTCTTGACCACTTCGGCCATCATTCGATCCGCCTCAACAAAGAGGACCTTGGGATCACGTTGATTGGAAGTAAGTCGATGAAGATAAAAGATGACTTTCTTCGATGCCGATGTGATATCTCGGCTTAACTTGATAATAGCCTCACGTCGATCATGCTACCGATGGTTGGATTGGGAGAAGGAGGATTCGAAGGATGTAGTCATTTGAGTCAACTTCACTGCTGATTAAACTCCTTTGCGGGATTTCTTCAATTTCTGACATACGTGAACATCTAACTCGTTCGCGAACGATTGGAACATTATATCAATCGACATTTTCTTTTCCTTGAACTTGATGATCAGGGTAGTATAAGGACGCGACTTCTTGCGCGATCGGCGCCTGCCACATACGGTCTGACTCTGGGTGACCAGGATTCAGGATTCAGCCATGAGCCGCTGAGCTCTGGGTACCGTAACCTGACGATCGTGGCAGACCCGGGCTCGGGCTTACGGATCGCCATACTTATCCGCTGGTTCGGGGCCGGGCGGGGCAGGATTCACCTGCTTGTCACCGAATCAGATTCACAAGATGAGTGGTCGCGCGCCTGTGGAGATCGGTGGCATTGAATTTGCACTTGACCCCATTGAAAATAGTTTGAGCTGGGATTCATGATTCCATTGACTTTTGATTCTCGATCGAACTGAATTTGATTAATGAGGACCCCGGAAAGCTCCTGGAGAACAAACCGTCCTCGATCCATTCCGGCCCCGGCCCTCACACTTTCACTATTTGCCCCGAGGAGAGGTGGGTTAACATGGATTTCTCGGTGGTAGGAGAAGCGCCTTGATCAGGGCTCTCGATTACATATACTTTCAGTTTTGTACCACGTGTAATCACCGAGATATCCGTATGTAAGTACCCGACCCGAGCCGGTATGGATTTTCGTCGGTCTGGGGGGGCAAAAGTTACAAATCACACATTTCCCAAGCCACCAGTCATGTTCAGGGTCAGACATGTGTACCATCTGATAGCCCTCGTTGAGGCGCATCTTTTGCACCTGTCACATCTCTGGTACCATGTGACATGACTTCACAAAACACCGGTATCCGAAAACCCCCTCAGGACGGTTTGTTCTCCAGGAGCTTTCCAGGGTCCTGATTAATGACAACCAAAAAGAAGTGAAAATTTAACAAAAGTTTTATTTAACTACGGAAGCCGTGACGTGAAGTGACCGCCACCGTTTTTTCAAAACTTCGGTTTTCGGTTTTCGGTTTTTGGTTTTTGGAATTTGGGCATTTCCTTCAATTTTTTTGAAAAGCAACCATGCCTCCCTCTCAATTTACAGTGAGTCGGTCAAACTGCTTGACCAATTCAACTCTTGTGCCTTCAAATATCCAGACTTTGACTCAATCAAACCACATCTCAAATCTTATCAACTTCAATCGTATCAATCAATACCAAAGTACAGTCGACTCTGATATAACCGATACCCAAAAAATTGTATCAGTTTTCACGGAGTATCGGTTTTGTCAGAGCCAACTTCACTGAAAATTTTAAAAAAATGGCCGAAAATTATCGGTTTTGCCGAGATTATCGGTTTTGACAGTGTATCGGTTATATCAGAGTTGACTGTATTGTAGTTCAAATTAAACTAATAGATCCTACTACACATCACAGTTGAATCGGCGAGCTCTTATCTCAACACCTGTTGTGTTAACCTTTTAAATTTCTTCGTCAACTTCATATCGAACCACTAATGTTTAAACTACCCATTGCATCAAAAAGATCCATTGGCTTGCTCTTATCTCAACAAAAAATTGATCCACTCGATCCTACTACACATCACAACTAACTCTGAAAGCTCTTATCTCAACACTCATTGTGTTCACCTTTGAAGTTTCTTCTTTAACTTCTTATTGATCCATTAATTCTTACACTAACTACACATCAAAATGCTGAATTGGCTGGCCCTCATCTGAACAAAAAATTTACATAAGTATCTTTGAATTGCAAAGAGTATAATCACAAATCATGGTGATTACAATCTGGAACCTGATCATTTCACAGAGTTTGTATCACTTACTTATTGATTGTTTTACACAACTTACAACATTTCAATCATGAGGCTGTTTTAAAAAATGTATGCCAAGTATTTTTGATTATTCTGAGTTCTCAAACAATTGAGGTTGATCTTGACAATCACCTCCTCAAAATTCAACCTATTTGGAAAACCAACAGTTTCTTTGATCAGAAAGGTTGTTGATTGATTGAGGGGTAAGGTGATTTGTAACTGTAAATGATACCAAGTTGATTACAAGTTTATTGACTGTAAATGATACCAAGTTGATTGAGTGAGTGATAATTGAAACAAGTCTGGACTTTGATAAAAGATACTCGAGCTGGGTGGTGGTGGTGATAGCTAGATTGGTGAAAAGACAAGTGTGAAAAAATAGCTCGGTGGTGGGTGGTGATGTTGGTAGCTAGCTGGTGGTGAAAAGACAGATGTGGAAAAAAATGCTCGGTGGTGGGTGCTGAGTGAAAATACGAGTGTGGAATAAACCCTTGGTGGTGGTGATCGTGTCAGTTGGTGTTCTCGGTGATGGTAGCTACGATGGACGAGAGAGGAGGGTGGAGGACAAACCTCAAAACCCGAAACACAAACCTGTATTGCCCTGTACAGATACTCGATTTTCGAGTAGGTCTGATCAAACCTCGCCAAAACGTCGTAGAAACAATCCAGATCACTCAACAAGTTTTGCAAAAACCCAACAAACATCCAGGAATCAAGTACAAGTTTAATTGATTTGAGTTTATAATTGAAGACATCAAAAGTTTTGTCTTTTGACCAGATCAGGAGAGCAAGGCATGAAATTCACTACTTCAAATGCAATTAGTCTCTTGGGTTGGATTTCTGTTTCTGAGTCTGTTTCTGATCTTTGTTTTGACATCAATGTTGAATTTTCAAATTGGACTCAAACTTTGAGATTTTCCTATTTGGTATCATTGCACAAGAAGGAAACTGAACATCTATCAGATGTTAACTTAACAAAGTCCCTCTCGCGGCTGTTTGTCTGTTGAGTGAAATGTGTTGTTCACCAAGTCAATCAGAATGCTTTGATTTTGGAAAGGTGAGACAAAAATTGATTGAGATTTGTCTGTGATGTTGAAAGAGTGTATATTTCAAAGCAAATCTTTTTGTTTGATAAAAAGGTCAAAAGAAACCATAGTTAAATCGTGAGTTTAATTCATTCTAGATGATTTAAAAACTTGCTCGTTATCATGATGTGATGATGAAACTGTATCTCAATTGGGAGCCGTCTGGAATCGTCTCTGGCTTCGTCTGGATTGTTTCTACGACATTTGGCAAGGTTTGATCAGAGCTACTCGAAAATCGAGTATCTGTACAGGGCAATACAGGTTTGTGTTTCGGGTTTTGAGGTTTGTCCTCCACCCTCCTCTCTCGTCCATCGTAGGTAGCCCGTGGTGTGTATTGAAAATTGAAGGAAATGCCCAAATTCCAAAAACCGAAAACCGAAAACCGAAGTTTTGAAAAAACGGTGGCGGTCACTTCACGTCACGGCTTCCGTATTTAACCAAGAGTTCTTTACAAACCTTTCAATTTGAATTATTCCTTTCTCTTTTGCTATTTTCAATTTTCTCAATTCTAAAAGCATGTCACCAGCAACTGGACCATCACCACCACCACCACCACGTCCACCACCATCATCAACCACAAACCAATCTACTAATTCAAATCAAACTAATTATCAAAAACATTCAATCTCTTTAACTTCTTCGAATAAAAAAAAATCAAAATCAAAATTCAATTTACTTCAATCTTCTTCTCCTTCAAAGCAATCTCAATCTACTCCTCAATCTCAACCTCAACCTCAATCTCAATCTCAACCTCAATCTCAACCTCAACCTAAACCTCAACCTAAACCTCAAGCAGCGTAAGTCTTTTCTTTCAATGTTTGTAATTAGTTATCTTCAATCAAACTGATCTGATTTGAATCATCGTCGTCTTTAGTCCTCAAACTTATTCTTCACAGGTAACTCTCACTTCAACATCGATACATCAAACTTGATCGTTCGGTTAACTTTTGTATTCTTTGATTTTTCTTTAACAGGTTCCAAGTTCACCTACCAAGAAAATCAAACTCTCTCATCCTACTATCATCAATTCGAATTCGAATTCTACAACCACGATCAATCCACCTCAACAAACCAAGATGATCATGAAAAAAGTAAGTATTCTGATCGATCAAATCCGAAACCATTCATCCAAAACCCATGTTCCTAACAAACTTTTGTCTTCCATTTGATTTATCTAGAAACCCAAACCGAAAACCCAATCAAAAACAAAACATCAAACCAACCAGACCCCCAGCCCATCCAAAAGTTTCCTATCAATCTCGATTTCTCTATTCCTAAAGATCTCAATCTGTTATTTATTATTTGGATACTTTTACTTTTGTCCAAAAGATCCGACTCAGAACCCATTAGTGTGTTCGAACCTAGCCGAACTTCATTGGGCCTTATCACCACATCTTTCTCCTTACATTCAAACCTACAATCAAAAGATTCATCAACCTATCCAAGCAAAAGTTTTGCCGATTTGGAATCAACAGGTTTTACCTGTTTGGAATCATCATGTGCTTCCTTCGATTAGTAAACTTTCAAATCGGGTTGAAGAACTTGAACTTGGTCAAAAAATTAAACCGGTGATGGATCATTTAAATGATCGGTATGATTCTAAACTTTTACCTTATGTAGAGCTTATTACAAACTGGTTTAAAGAACATTTAAAAGTTTTAAAAAAATCAAAATTCATTAAACGGTTCAAACAGAACTCCATCTTATTGAAATCTTTTTTAACTGATCAACTTCAATTAAATTTGATTCCAATCACTAAAAAAACTTATCAAGATCAAATCAATCCTGTTTTCCTTAAACACATTAAACCTAGATTCATTGAACTTAAGAAAAAGGTCTTTGAACATCAAGTTTGGTTTAAATCAAAAGAAACCATTCAAGTTTGGTACGAAACTCATTTGATCAAGACCTTTCATCATCTTATGGATGTTTATGTAAGACCTCAAGTTCAAAAGATTTTAACCAAATTAAATGAATATCGAGAAAGAAAACAAACGAAAGTAGAAGTAGAAGATTTTAAAGATGAAAAGAAGTCTAAGGATGAAGAAGTTCAAGAAGAATCAGTTGGTCAAGAACCGGTTGAAGTTGTGCCAGAGGAAAGTCAACTTGAGGAGCCGGTCGTAGTGGTTGATGAAGAAGTGATAGTTGAAGAACCTGTGGTAGTTATTCAGGAGGAGATAGTTGAAAAGCCAGCTGTAGTTATTGATGAGCAAGAAATGATTGAAGAACCTGTTAAAATCGATGAAGAGCCCAAGATCACTGAAGAACCAACTGTAGTCATTCAAGAAGAAGATCTCATCGAAGAACCTGATGTGATGATCCAGGAAGCACAGTCAGAGGTGTTTGAAGAGCCAGAAGTGACGATCGAAGAACAGTCTACGATCTTCGAAGCTGATGTGATCGACGTACCACCAGTTGTCAGCGAAGAAGAACCCGTGGTGGTTGAAGACTTGCCTGTTGCAGTCAAAGAATCAGCAGAAACGGTAGAAGAACCAGCGGTATTAGTCAAGGAATCACCAGTCCCAGTCAAGGAACAGCCGGTAGTAGCCGAGGAACCACCAGTATCGAACGAACAGGAATCTCCAACGGTGATCGAAGAAGAAACAACAGCGAACGAAAAAGAACAAGCGGTCAATGAAGAAGAGACAGTTCGAATTGATACAGAACCTAGAGTTTCAGACGATCAGTCGGTGAAGATAGATCATCTTGAATCGAATGAAGGATCATCGCCTGTATTGGAAGTGAAACAGATGACTGAATCGGAAAAGGAAAAGAATACTGAAGATCTACTTGCAGATGATCTCGATGGTAAGTTTGAAAGTTTCTTTGATATCAGTTTTTGATTTCAAAAAAATCGATTGTTTGGATTAAACCCAACATGTGAGATTTTACTGATTTGTTTTTTTGGCTTTCGTCGATTAGAATTTCTTGAGTTGATAAAAGATGAAGAAGAACAAGAAAAACTAAAACCTACAAAAGAAGAAGAATCGACTCAAAGAAAGAAAAGAAGAACGACCGAAGAAACCGCCAGTGATCGGATCGAATTAGAAACCTATCGAGAAGTAGGGTATTCGAAAATGAAAGAACTAGAAGAAATCCAACTAAAGAAACTAATAGAATTAATTAATTTAAAACGAAACGAAGAGAATCTAAAAGAGTTGAATGAAATCATCAATGAAAAAAGAATTGAAACGATTCGAATCGAAAGAGAAAAGTTGATTAAAAAATTAAAGAAATGGTTTGAAAAGAATGAAAAGGTTGAATTGAAATCGATGGAATCAAAGTTTGAAGAAATCGAATTGATCATAAAGAAATCTAAAGAAAAGTTTAAGTTGAAGGTGATTGAGATCGAATTGAATAGGATTAAAGAGTTTGAGATTGATCAGTTGAAGGAAGAGATGAAGGTTTTGGAAACGGTTTGGGTTCCTTTACAGGATTATGTGGTTCAGGTTCAGGCTGTGCTTGGACCTGGCTTTACTTGGTTAGAAGATGTGACCTATAAAGATTGGGAAAGTAAGTGAACATTCTTTTTTCCCTCAAAAAAACATCAAGAATACTGATGAGTGATTATTGGATTGGGGGGATTTAGGTTATCATTTATTTTCAAATTTGTCAAATAAATCTAAAGAAAGGTTTCAAGAGCTAATCATGAATGGAAAAGATCCTAAAACAGATCAAAGTTTAAAAGTTTTAGAGTTTTTTGAAAAGATTAGAGAAACTTATGATTTGGTTTTGGATGAGGCTAGAGTTTTTGATTTGAAATTGGATAGATTAAGGATTAGGTATGTTGAGAGATTGGAAAAGGAAATGGAAAAGGAAAATGAAATGGGAAATGGAAATGGACGGGATGGGATTGGGAAAGATGAGCTTTAGGGTTTGGCGGTTTGGATGGGTTTGAAGTTTTTTGAAGTTGAGAGTTGAGAGTTGGATTAAGAAAGTTGAAGGATTTTTTTGGGGGGTTTTGGGGGGTTTAGAGACTTTCTTGTGGAAGTAGGCATTTTGGTTTGATTATTGATTATTGATGAAGGTTTTTGGTTTTTTTGGTTTTTTTTCTACAAATAATTAATTTTGATTAAATAAAAAAAATTGATCATTTGTTAGATTTTTTTTTTCATTGAAACCATTCACCCACCCATCCTAGAGAAAAAAATGGATTTTGAGAAATTTATTGAAATTCAGGTTTTTTGATTCATTCAGTTTTACATTTAATCTTTAATGATGTTATACTTTTTTTTTTCACTTTTTTTTTCCTAGGTTGTGGTTAATTGATTGATTATGAATGAAATATTGGTGTTTTTGAAGAAAATTGAATTACATTGATTTTTTTTTTCAAATGTTTATGAGGGTTTATGGTACATAATACAAGTGTTGATTTTTTTGGCATTTTGATATATGGTTATAGAATTCTTTCTTCTTTACAATTTTTTTTTTTGAATTGGTTTACATTTTTTTGATTTTTTGAAGCTTTGTTGGTTTTTTTTTGGTTGATTAAAGATTTTGTTTTTCAAATTTCTTAAGATGTGAATTTATAAGATCAATTTTTGGTTCAATTACTAGAGAATTGTATTGAAAGTTGAATGATAAGAAATGAAAGTGAGTTTACTGTTTGAGTGGGGATATGGATGTGGGGTGAAGTTATCTCCGAGGTTATGAAGTGCAATAATGAAGGTACAATATGACTTTAAGAGACCAAGTCTCGATCATATACACACTAGACCCTGGAGGATAGCTAAGTTGGACTGAGGAATGGACTGGAATGGACAAATGGCTCAATATAGGAGAAAGTGTCAGGGTGCTGAATGATAATTTTGATGATGAAGGCCCAGGTTCTAGATCGAGATCTCCATGTGGTTGAGATATATGGCGCTTAAACTGAGTTTGATAGTACAATTATAGTTTAACTGAATTTTAATTTTAACTTTTAACTTTTTCTTTTCTTTTCCTTACTTATCGATTTCCTCACATCAAGCACACACAAACACAAATACCAAGACCAAGACCAAGAGACCAACAGTAACACCTAACGATCGAATCACCAATCTGATTCTCAATCCTACTTAACTCTGATACATGTCTCAACAAAACTACGAGCCATGTTTCTCATTCTCAGTTCCACCTGGCAAACCAACCGATCCAGCTTATGCAGATCCTACTCCAATCTTATCAAATCGTGATATCAATTTCAATCGTCAGATCACAACTGCAGTTTCAAGTACAAGTGAACCATCTACTTCATCTCCATTCGCATTCTCAATCTTATCAGAATCATCAAAACAACCCATCCCAACCCCAAAACAAAACCCAAAACTTAAACCGAACCTGAACCATCGAAACTCATTACCAAACCAACATTCTTACCAACCACACCATCCAAGTAGTCCAAAAGATTCTAAAGACTTACAACCAAACGAATCAAAACGAATCAAACTAGAACCGATTTGTTGGAACAGATCGCTTGACAATCAAGAAAGCTTACATCAAACCACTACCATTTCAAATCAGTTATGTTCTCCTACTCATCCTCATCCTCATCCTCATCCGATCCATCATCAATCTCATCTACCAAACCAAATCGAGTATCAAAAACCGTTTTGTTTACAAGCTGTACCTACTCAACGAAAACGTCCCAGAAGAAGGTTTGAAGAAGTCTGTTTTGTTTTCATTTATTCTTTTCCTCATTTTTTTAAACCAAAGCAATCAAATCATTCAAAACGTACAAGATTGCAAAACTTTGGTCAAAAAAAGAGTCTTCAAAACGAAGAAATATAAAAAAACCCGGGTGACTTATGGTTTTTTTTTTTTTTTTGGTTTTACGAAAAGAATAGATCGAAAGACTTTACGGATGTCTTTATCCAGGTTGTACAAAAGCTTATGGAACCTTGAACCATTTAAACGCACATGTCTTAATGCAAAAACATGGAAAAAAACGACTTCCAGAAGGTTTGTTTAATAAATCCTTCTTACGTCATCAAGCTTTTTGAGAATTAATTCATGAATCTTTTTTTTGGTTTGTGGAATAGAATTTAAGGAGGTTAGAAGAGAGTGGAGGTTAAGGAAACGGTTTAATGGGAATATTAAAGATGATAGGTAAGCTCTTTGAACTGGATTTCAATTCTCATTCGAAATATTCGGTTGACTCTTTTCTTTTTTGGGTTTGGGGGATTTCAGAGGAACGGATGAGTGTGATTTGAAAGATGATGGTGAAACTTCATGACCCAATTAAGTTTCTTCAAAAGATCATCAACTAGGCTTTTTTTTGGTTTAACTATCAGATATCATGTATGCGTAGAACAATCATTAAGACTTCTTGGTTTTGATTTGGTTCTATTAAACCTAGGATTCAGTTCACTTGTAAGGTTTTGTTTTTCGGATCGGTTTCGGTTTCGGATTGTTTGGAGTTCGGTTTCGTATATATATTGGGTTATTTTGAATTTCCTATCATTTCGTTGTACGGGTTTACACGGTTGATTTTTGTTTTGTTTTGTGTGATTCGTTATAAAAAGAGTGAGTATTATTTTAACATAGCCAAGGATTTAGTTTTTTTCTTCTTCAAAAAATTGGTCTTTATTATATCTTGTGTCTATAATGCTTCTTTTTATATTGTTATTTTTGGACTTGTTTTTTTTTTGGTTTTTTTTGGTTTTTTGGTTTTTTGTAGAGTGTAGAAATTCGAGATACAGAATTAGTAACAATGTTCCTGAAGGTCTTTATCACCTAAAGTGTGTTAATATATCTCTTTACATTTTTAATTTTATTGTCATTTGATGAAGTTCATTAGTATTGGATTGAATAGTTCTTGAACAGTCTTCAAATTCTTTGGATTATTATTATACATATATATATATCTTGAAGGTTTATTTTTATTTTTTGTTCATCTTAGTTTTGGGTGATTTTCTTTTCATGGTTTTGATTCTTGATTCTTGAAGTTGGTATATAGAAATGTGATTTAAAGACTTTAAGGTCTTACTAAAAGATCATTGAAAACTGTTTAAATTCAAACCATTATCTCTTTCTTGAATGTGGTAATCTAAATGACAAAGCTGAGCTACTCTACTTGCCAGCTCCAAAGAAAGTCTTAAAAAATTTGCCTAAAACACACAGTTTGAAAGAATCCATTTCCAAGACACTTCCTAGATTGGAAAATTCAAGGATTTTCTGGTCAGTGTCTTATAACTCACTTTGTGATAGACTAATGAGAAGCTTTGTAAGAAATGTGGAGAGTGTATGAGTAGAGAGGAAGGGAAAGAAGAACTAGAATGTCTAGTGGTTACCTGTGATCTCTGTGTTATTAGGGTGCTATGTATACATACTTCAGCCCTAGGAGGCCTGATGCTTTTGTGGGAAACATGGACTTGCATATCTTTTCTGTTTGTCTTATATGAGTACTGAATCTGGTAAACCTGTACATCAGCTTTTTCTTCTCACTTTCTCCTGTTCTTCACAATCAATCAATGTACTCTCAGCTTATCAGAATACTGTTTGTTGGAGTCTGATATTGAAATTTCATTGAGGTCTTGTTCAGTATGGCATGAATAGTGTGCATGATAAGCACTTGATATGTTCAGATACAATATGATTTAGTTGAGGTTTAAGCAACAGATCAATTGAAGAACATGTGAAATATTAATTCTCAACAGATTCTTGTTGTAGTAAGACTTAAAATTGTCCATATTGATTTTTTGTTGGGTCAAGTAATGAATAAATTCATGAAATTTCTAAAGCCAAGTCACCTACAAACTATGTGAAATGAAACTGTCAGTTGGGTGGGGCTCAATACCAAGGTACATCAAATTTCAACATTCATCAACCAAGGCCCCACAGGGTGTCCAGCAGACAAGAAATGTTGAGTATCATACCAAAAATGGTCAAACCAAATAGCTGTGAAATGTGAAAAGGTTAAAGTAATATTCCTAAACAACTGTACCAAAAAATGTAAACATCATAAGAAAGTATGGTAAACAAAACCAGATATTGGTATATCAAAACAGGAACACACCAAAGTGGAACACTAAACTAGACATAAAAGGGGAGTACAGGTGGGAGATGAAAAATCATTAATGAGGCAAAAGGACTTGAGTATGGTATTGCAAGTGAACAGTGATAAAGAACCCTGTCAATAAGAAGTTTCCAACTTCAATTCTCCTCATCATAATATCAAGTTCAAACACTCTTTTCTCACAGAGTTTTTCAAACACAATTCTAATCATGCATTTGATTTTCACACCACTTGTACACACTAGGGTCCTAATTACCATGCTTAAATGAAAAGATTTTATCTGGTGTTGCTTTGAATGCAAGCTCCACGTGCCGCAAGGGCATTCTACGCAGGCCTTTCTCATTCTATCAGTAAAAGTATCAATCATTCCTTGAGTCATGTTGGGAAGAACAATATGATCAGGACCATCGAAGCAAATCATTACTATTTCAAAAGTCTAGGTATTTCAGACAGCTTTTGATTGATTCATCCAAATTATCTGGATTCAGTTTGTGTGTCTCATTCTCTCGTTCTGCCATTAGTATTGGATTGTATGGATGAGAAAGTTTCCAATTTTCAAGACCACTGATCTTTTCCTTTCTGTAATGGAAGTACTCAATGAATGCATGTCCCTTGTTCCAACACTTCTGTGGAACACTAAGATCCCAATTTCCTAGTACACGTGAACTTTTCCTACCCTGATTGAGATCACTCTTCAGCCATACTTTGAATTCTATCAATTCTTCAGCTTCAAGGCCAACATGATTTGCAATTAAGAATTCTCCTGCAGTCAACTTCTGTAGCCCATCAGCCTTTAAACCAAGATCTGAAGGTTTGATCCCCATCCCATCAGCAAGAATGGCCAAATTCTTCAACCGTTCCTGAAATAGATGAGATATTCCCTCTTCATTTACAAAGATGCTCCTTGTATACTCTTCTACCCATGGGTGTTCAAATACAGCAAACATCAGATCGATCTGCAAGGTTACCCTTCCATGCATTGCTTTGATCAACTGATTAACTCTATTTATAATTTCTGCCTTAGTCAAGGTTTTCCAGTTCACCTTTTCTGATGATAAATCAAGTACATGAGATATGGTCCCCATCAATGATAAGATGGCCCCTTGACATAAAAACCCACTTGATAAAGCATATTTCAAGAATTTTGAATTTCTATAGGTATCATCAAAAGTCATCATAAACATTGATGCTTTTCTCTTTTCCACTTCTGATGCAGAATTCTTATAAAGTTTCTCAAAATCAGTTTTACTCAAATTCTTTGTTATCACATTTACTTGCTTCCATTTACCTATTTTATAATCAAGAAAATGAGGAAAAAATTGATCAAACTTAAATAATTTTCCAAATTCAATTGAAGCTTGAGGAATTGATTCTTTTTTATTTTCAAAGTTATAAACAAATATCAATTCATTACATTGTGCAGAAAATGATATTATCCTTCTATATGCTTCTTTTATATCACCAAATGTATACTGAAACCCATCACATGTTGAGAACCATTGTTCTTTGTCACTCAGTAAATTGGTACGTAAAACATATGCAAATTGTAAATTTGTTACATCTATCTGAATATTTTGTCTTTTATCATCAAATTTTAGGGCATGCCTCATGAAAATGTGTCCAGGAATCTTTAAAATCTGTTCCAAGATTTCACCAAACTGGCTCTGACTCATCATGTCTGTAGGACTTTGTGAATGCAGTGCCAGGGATGTAGACTCTGAAGTATCTGGTTCAGAAGCCTTCATCATGCTTTCACTAGCAGCCTTTTTCCTTGGATTCTTAAGCTTTTTAGATGAGGACTTGCTCTTATTTGACTTTTGAGTTTTTCTTCTAGTATTATGTGATGGTGTGAGATAGACTCTCTTTTGATCATCAGATGTGCTTCCTTCCAATCTCTTTGTTTCTTCATCTTTTGAGTTCTCAACTGATTTTGACAAGATATCTGCAACTTCTTCTGTATCATGAGCTTGTACTACATCTTCAATCATTTCTGCCTTGGTTATCAGTTCATTTTGTGGCAGATTCAAAGAACTAGAGGTAGTTGGCTCTGATGGTAGAGTTTGAGAATGCAAATCCTCAAACAATTTTCTTGATGATTTCTTTCTTGGCTTTCTGGTCCTTGTAACCAAGGGCTTGGTATGCAAAATTGGAATTGTGGCAATCTCATCATTGTTGAGGTCAGGTCTATCATTTGATACTTTTTTACTCTCATCTTCAGCAACAAGATTACTCTCTTCAAGATCAAGATCTGTATTTTCATTAGCATCCAGTGCATTCTGTTGTATGTTTTCTCCCACATGAGTCTCTTTTGGTGAAGATTCTTGTTGCAAATCTGAGAGTTTTCCCTTCTCAACTGATCTTTCTTTGTCATCTCCAGGATTTTCAACAATTTCTGTCTGTCCTATGTTCCTCAATTCTTGGTCTGGGTGTGAGATAGTTTCATTTGGTTGACATTCTGGTATAATTTGAATATCTTCTGATGTATTGGAATGAACCTCTTTCTCAATCTCATTTGCAAGAATCTCCTCCACTGCTTTATCAATAGATCTTTGACTTGATATCTTTGACTGTTGATTTGTGGTTATAACTGGTGGGATCTCTTCTTTCATATTGCTCTGCAGGAGTGCAGCAGGTGATCTAACATCAGGCTTCACTTTGTCTTTCAAAACAGGCTGTGATATCACTGGAATTGACAGGGAATTTATATCTTTGTTTGTTTGGACATGCAACACAGTCTTTCTGGAGCCTTTCTTGAGGTACAACTCTGAGTTTGGTGTGGGTTTGATGCTTTTCTGAGAGGGGATATTGGATAGAAGGTCTTCATTTTGATGCTTTTTGAATCTGTTTGTTAATTTGCTCTGGTCCCTTGTAGGTAATTTGGGAAAAGAAGTCTCATATTGAACTATACTATCTTTTTCTTCCCTAAAAGATTGTTTTGTTCCATATTGATCATATCAGGCATTATTGATATATATTTCAGTTAAATTGAGTACATACTTGACTTTTTTCTTGGGAGGTTCATGGACCATTGGGTTCTCAATGGGATATTTTAAGACTGTTGATCCTACAGTGCTTCCAGGCTGATGTTCAAAAAGTGAAAAACCAGGTGTGGCAATTGAACCAGAAAGAATTGAATATTTTTGTGATGTCTCTTGATTTTCATTAAAGTTTTCCAGAGGTATACTTAGCCCCTTCCAGATACTGTATTGATTGTGCCTTGAATTCACTAAATTTGATATGGTATTTTCCTCTGAGATTAATGTTGAGTAGGATACCTTGAAAAGGCAAGGATATACATAGATCAAGAGGTTTTTCATAGAAGAAAATATTTTGTTCCTTTAATCTGGTTGAAAAATATTGAATGCAAGATATGGAGATGGGGGGGATATTGAAGAGAATTTTTTCAGGATGATGGGTATTGGTAATCCAGGCACTGTTTCTCATCTGTTCATGAAACACTGCTTCACCTTTACAAACATGGAAGGGATCTTGAATGGGAAGTGTAACTGTTAAACATGATACAGTAACTAAGACAGACCATGTTTGTAAGAAAGATGTTCAATATGAAACCAAATTGCATTCCAGAATCTTTTTCTAGACTGTGTGGATATTCATGTAGGACACCACTTGATTTGTGTTCAAAATACAGTGATCACAAGTTTTGAAATGGAATAGGGCTGATCATATAACAGCTCACAATGAAGACAGAAGAGTCATTTAGAAAGAGATATACCTCCCAATATTCCAAAATGTTGATTGAATCCAGATATCTTATATCCACACACAAATTGTACTAGACGCCCATGGGCCCTGATTGATCACTGTAGATACTTTTGATTTCAAGCTTGTCAAATGTGTCCCACAAAAAGTCAGCAATTTGGCACATATTTTTCTGGGAAGCTTTGCAAAATCAATAATATATAAGTTACAGAAGTGTAATAAAGGCCTCCCTCAAGGCTTTGACTGTGCTTTTGTGATACCTGACTGGTGCATACAATATATACCATCTTTTGGGTAGAAGGATATTACCATTGAGAGTTGGCTAAGAGATCGATTGTATGTTGTAGTCAGTGTTGATCAAGCTCTATGCTGCCCTCTCCGCCTCCCTTACATCTACCAGAATTTGATGGATGCACTGTTGTCTTTCAACAATTTTGTGGCTTTGGTAATGTATGGTTGCAAACTCACACCAGGTTATGGACTCATTCTTCACATAAGGTAAAGATTTATCGGATGATAAAACATTGGTATCATCTGTAATAACAGGTAATAACTCATTGTAGCTCCCTAAGTGAGATAAATCACAGAGCATGGGAAGGCAGGGTCAACTAATGCATTATTGTGCACCAGAAAGGAAAAAGTCAAATAAATCAGGAATCTTCCCCAAGTTACGGGCCTATACATGAAGGCCAAAGCATGCAAGAAGAAAAACGATCATTCGGACCTTTCGCACTGAATTCGCAATAATCCAATATGAGCAATTCCGTCATCCAGAATATAAAGTCTGAGGCAAGACCTGCAAGACTTTATCTCGCTGCGAAGAAACACTGGAGTCAAGTTCCAGATGGGTTCAATCAATTGCGAGTCATCGTTGGACTCAAGGGCATCGCGTGTTTAGAGAGACTAAAGTGATATCATTTTCTTTTACCATCAGGTCAAAAGTCTTGACGGTAGGCTACATTTGAGCATTTTTTAAAAGATACGTGACATAATAATATTTGGAGTAGAAAACAAGAGGTTCAAGGACTTTTTCAACATATCATTCGTAACGACTGCGGGATGAGTCGTCCATGTTGAGTCGTCCCATACCGTAATCATTTTGTCGCTCGTAATCCTAAGAGTAAACAAGCGACATTGACGTCAATCTTCTGAGCTTGGGAATATTTTGGGAGCGCATCACCAGATTCGACATCTTTTGGATACTCACCTCTCTGGAAGAATCGTCTCGTTCACGATATTCGTTTCTGTCTCGGCTGTGGGATTTTGGTTTGTGTTTGTGTTTGCGATCAGATTTAGATTTAGATTTATGCTTCTTGTGACCATGCTTGGAGCTGCCGCTCGAACTTTCGCTCTTAGAGCTACTCTTGCTGCTACTATGGGAGCTCTTTCGTTGATGGTGACGAGATGCGACATACCTAGCGGATCGATCCTGGTCCTGTGAATATTCACCAGGATTTTTGTACCTTGATTCTCCATGATGACTGCGGTTGCCACTATTGTACTCCTGTTGGGCGTCTCCATATTGGGCAGTATGCCGAGCCTCGCGGTATGACCCGCCATTGTTTGTGTCATACTCATCATCGCGCGCTTGAGTTTGGTGAGATCTACCAGGGTATTCAGATTGGCGATTGGTTTGATAGTCATCCTCGGTATGTTCACGTGCACCATGTCTTTGCCCTTCGTATGAGGATTCGTCTAAACCACCCTGGTTGTATGAGACTCTATTGGTTCGCTCGTTCTCGTGATCATTTCGCTGGTCGAAACGCGATGAATCTACATGTCTACTGCCATGGCGGCCAAAACCTTCACTCTGATATTGTTGGTACTCGTTGCCCTGGGTGTCCCCTGATGACCATTTCAAGTCAATGACATATCTTGTGCATTGAACGAGGGTGACAAATGACACTCACCATCGTAGCCTTGATTTCGTAAAGGTCGGTGGGTTTGTTGCGAACTGCGAAGTTCGTCTTGAGAAGAATCCACTTGTCCACTACCATGGCGGGCGAAACCTGCGCTTTGATTTTGTTGGTACCCATCACCTTGTATGTCCCCTGAGATCATTCCAAATCAATCACATCTTCTTTGCAATCAATAAACGGGGCCGAAAATGTCGCTCACCATCGTAGCCTTGATTGCCTGAAGGTCGGTCAGTCTGTTGTGTCCTGCGAAATCCGCCTTGATCACTTTGATAGAGGTTTGCATTTGCGCCTTGTGGATTTCTCGTATAAGCTCCGCTCGAAGCGTGTTGATTATATTGGGAGCTTCTAGCTGGCTGCGAAGTCGAGTAGGAGCTGCGAGAATTGAATTCATTGCTCGCGGATCCATCGTCCATTTGATAAGAGGGCCTCTCGTGTGCTTGGTTGCGTCCCTCTGGACGAGATTGATTGGCGTTGTACGAAGTTTGACTTTGCCCGATGGAAGAGTGTGCGTGAGCGTTTGATGCCCCGCCGGAACCGATGCGAGGGTCAGAACCATCTTCGGTAGTTTTCCTTTGGTTTCGATGATTACGAACACTGTCCTGGTTTGTGTTGGGGACTTGTAGGTTAACGCCATCTCATGGAAGTGTTGCATGGCTTCGACGTACTTTGGTCAAGCTTTTGAGAGTTAATTCACGATCATCCACATCCATGCCGTCCAACCACTTTTGCATATACTTCATCATTTGCATTTGAATATCCGAATTTTGGCTGGCATAATTAGGATGGTGAATGGCTTCTAAGATCTAGTTGTGAAGTCATGCAATCCCATAGTTAGTCTGGCAAGGCGCATATATGAGCGTGTGGTAAGTACGTACTTGATCAATGACCCGATCCGGATCATCATTGTTGCTCCATGCATCTACAATCAAGTTGACAGTATGTTTCACAATGATCACAGATATATTTCCAGCTGGGTCGTTGAGTATATTAGAGAAATGATCTTTGGCAAGGACTGAATGAGTGGGGTCAGATGCATTAGGGTCATTGAACACGGTCCATTGATCGTTTCCACTAATGACAGCCTGACTTCCTTCTCCTATGGCAGTGCTAGCTTGCATCAAGATGGGTCTAACATAGGGGTCAATGGTGATCATGATGTACTGGGTGAGCGCCAAAGATAGATTTTCAAGGAGTTCGCCCAAACCGGGAACGCCCTCGATGAGCTCCTCAATGCCTGTGTGTGGAAAGTGAGTCAGGTGAATGAAAGAGTACCGATATCTGAATCTGGCTGGACTCACGTCGCATCAAATTATCGCGTATCACGAAGATGTCCCACAATTGCTGTTGCAGCTGTTCGGGGGCAAGCTGGTCGATACGGCCCTACACTCGTACCACGTGAGGAAAACAGTGACATCAGTGCAACAGCGGAGATGTCGGTCAAAAGTTACTGACACCCACATCAAGGTCGAAAGCCTTCTTCTTTTGATTCATCTGATCTAAATCGTCGTTCACAGTGGTATCACCATTGCTACCACCGAGGGGCAATTTACTCAAAATGGACTTGATAAATTCAAATCTCCCTCCATCCGATTGTTTGTTTTGATTCTGGGCTTCATCCATCTGAGCAGTCAAATCAGCAATTGACGCAGAGGACAATTTGTCACTCGCCTCCCCGAGCATTGAGAAACAAAAGTCGGCTCCTGCAAATGTGCCGGTGACGAGCGGTGGGACAGGTCCATCCGGGCTGTTGACTCGAACTGCGATGGAATACGTTAAACGTCTTAGATGGCTGAAGTGCAAAGGCAGCGGAACCATTGCGCCTACCATTTTCTCCCACGTGCGCAAAAACCTGCTTGTGGCCAAGTTTTTGAAGTGCCAACTCACACCAATTACCTGCAAGAATCTTCATCAGTGAGCGAAGTACAATGTAAAGTGGCCACATCTGAAAGTAACGATGTGACACCTACTATGCGCAGAGAAGTCTTCCAGAGTGTGCAATCCGGTCCCCAGAAGTCGAAAGCTTTCGTGTTCCTTGTCCTGGTTATTTTCCGCGCGAGCTTCCCTGCCAATTTGGATGCACTTTTGGAAAGTTCGCCTGATACATTTAGTCGAAGTATCAAATTCTTCATGATCCGATGCAATGTATTTCTTCATGCCATTGCGTTCATCAATTTGAAGTTCCCGGTCCTCGTCAACTCGTGGTCGAAGCCGACGGTCGTAACTTTGAGGATCTTCGCCTTCCCCATACCCTTTAGGATTCTGATGACAAGAATCATAAGTAAAGTAGGTGGAAAATCGGCCGAAGGGGTCAACTCACATCAATATGCTCGGTAAGCAAATAAACGGACAATCGTTCCCGAGTCACCTGGAATTCTTTTGTGGCATACCCTGGGCAAGACATCGCAGTGAGTGTGTATTAATCAACTCGGATGCTAAGTCAATCAACCTGACTTACCGAAAGTTAGGAAGCCCATCGTCATGATACATATCACCAGCGATTCAGCTGTCATGGCCTTGAACCCAGCGATATCGCACACTTGGGACAAGTCCCTCAACCAGTCTATGTGCAAGGAAGAGATTGGACCAATAAGTGAATCTGGGAGTTTCTGGGCATACTACTGTTATACTCACTTCCGAAGTAAACCCTTTTGACATCTAATCCAGAGAACTTTTTACCTCCCCGGGCACGGCCACGCCCTTCACCTGAGCCCGAATTGAAGAAAGCACTAGCGATAGCGCCGATGATTGCTCCACCACCTTGTCCCGCTACTTTGACCAAGCCTTCGAGTACGTCTGAGATGACCAGGTATATTGGCATCAGCTCCATACGTTGATGAGACATCAGCCTGACGAAACGCAATACATACCATCGATATCGCCATGACGCCAAGCCTAAGGAATGCAGCTGATCAGCAACTCATCGTTCAACAAACCAAATACGAAAGCCAAAAGAGAAAATATGCATACCTTGCCTTTGAGATAAGCAGCGTCTGGAATTTTGCCCTGAAATGTCGAAGAGAGGCATGTCTGAGTCAACTTGATTACAGTGATGGGTTTTGCCGGACAACAAGAGTTCCGCGATCGAACTTACAGAGCCAAAAGCAGAAACACCTGGTAAACAAACAATCAAGCCTATGAAAAACAAAGGATACAACCAGGTAGGACTAGCATTGCTATACGATCGTACAAATGACATGATGTTGGGCAAGGTTGCAGAATTCTAGTCTTGTTTACCGTCGCCGAAGTGAAATTAATGAGCAAAGTAGAAAAGGTCAAGGATGGTCACTCAAAGATCTTCGTGAATTCCGAGAAAGACGCGATAAGCTATCGTTGGAAATGGTTTTTGACAGTCTGATGATTGTCAATCGTTGAGGTGATCACCGCAGTCCCGAGGGATCGGACCTGAACAAACACTTTAACACAGCCGTAACTTTAAATCACAATCAAAGTGATGGATCTGTACACACTGCAATCATGACGCAATACGTACATTATCTTTATAACAAAGCCCTCTCTGCGCGGCCGCGTCCGCGCCCTCGCAGAGGGGCTTAGGACTAATTGTGATTTTTTGGCGTGAGCACTACAAGAATTAAGTCTCCTTGAGTAGTTTTTTGCGTTTTTACACTTCCCTCACAAGCAAGCCTCACTTGACTCCTTATTCAAAGGTGTTCAAAACAACTTTCTACATGATTGCGTAGCCTAACATGATAGGCAATCTGAGTAATGCGGCCAAAAAAGTGGTGTGAAGAGTCTTACAACACGCCTGTATTGTTGATTCCAAAATTGGGTACGGTGTGGATACACGCTGTACGCCTCCTTACAAGTGGGACATAAGCCTTGAAAACCCGCCTCAAGAACAGCATGGTGGAGTGGTTTTTACCTCTTGATAACAAAAGATGCACATGTAGAGAATTATGATGAACAACTTTGTCTGCAGAGTAAAGTGAGGCTTGCTTGTGAGGGAAGCGGAAAAATGTGAAAAACTACTTAAGGACACTTGATCCTTGTAGTGCTCACACCAAAAATCCACAAATAGTCCTAAGCCCCTCTGCAAGGGTGCGGAAGCGGCCGCGCAGAGAGGGCTTTGTTAAGCTAGCACAATACACCACAAGGACACGCCAATGTCTTAGGGACGACCACGTCTTTTGCAGGGGAAGGGATATCAGGGGATATCCTGACAAAACTGATCCAAGGAGCCCAAGTCAGATTCCAAATTTGGGACATCCCACGGGCTTCCAAGGGTGTTCCTATTTAAATGTAGGCCCAGCCAGGCATCCTGAGTGTGTGCTGCGGACGTCTGCGCGCACTGACATCCAGGAGACAGCCCAAACGGGGGTGCAGATGGAAGCATACAATCTCAGACGGTCCCAATGTCCTTCCACTCAAAAGTGTCTTTGTGATGTAGACTATGGGATGAGCCACACACAGGGACTGCCCCCATATTTCCACGACAGGACCCTGGAATGCCCCTATGGGGGTCTGTGACGTAAAAGGTGGGTTTTTGCGCAATATTTTGAGGAAAAATCAAGTATGTATGTGTCCTAAAGGGTTTTTTTGCCAATTTCTGCTCAAATGTGTGTGACTTGTTGGAATTACGGTTGTTCTTTTGCTTTCAAAGTCTTCCATCTTTTTAGTACAATAAAATATTGTAATTTCATTGTAATAATCTTTGATCTTTCCTCTTTTGTGTTTCTCTTCAATCAACATGACATCATTACTATCAATGAAGATTGTTATGTCATCCACATCATCACTCATCATGTTTTCATGTATGTCAATTTTTGTCTTTTGTGTTCACTATATAAACTGATCCCAAATCTCAGTTTGATGTCTTTCTTCTTCATCTGACTGTTTCTCTAAAACATATCTTATCATAAGATTTGTAGTGTTGTTTGTTCTCCTCACTTATTTTAAGATTTGTTTTGTTTGTTTGGAATCAGTCCAACATGATGTGAAAGGGGGTTTTTGAGCTCCAAGATTTTGATGTGCGTGACATGAAAGGTGATGTTTCACATACCAGATAGGATTAGGTCTGGTTAGGTTCTGTTAGGTTTCCGCCAAGGCTGTTGAAGCTCTGGAGCTTCTGGAGCTCTCAGCAGCCAGAATTCCACAAAATCAACCCCACACCGCGTAACTCAGTATACAAGCACATACACCTTCCATCAAAGTACATCAAACACATGAAAATGTTGTCTTTTGAACAAACTCTCCAAAAACCCTTGACCTATGCAACCACTGTCCAAATCTTCAAGAAGGCACTCATCAAGATTTGATATCCACGACTTTCTCAAATGCTCCAGTTGCTGAGGACGAGGAAGGGATGTGGTATTCAGTCAACAGTACTCTTGATAACGTATTTGGTGTTGACTGCATCAAAAAAATATCAAAAGGGCCCTGTAGGCTTTGCATGGTGGTTGGATGTATCCAGAAAGCTCAAAAGCATCACACATGGGATGGTGATTCTGACAAGATTATCAGGCTCAAGCTAGAAAATATCATATCCTCACTTAAAGGTGACTGTTGACCAGTTTTGATATGGAAAGTAAGAAGTGTGAGACCAATTCAAGCCTGAATTTTGATTCAATCAGATGCTGAGGCTGAAGACACATCTGATGAGCAACCTGCTACAAAGGTCAACAAGAAACAACAAGTTGTATCCAACCCAAAAAACTCAAACACCCCAAAGCCTCCGACCAAGCAAGCAAGATGTGACAGTTCCAATAAATCAAATGCCAACATCAATTCATCAGAGGTCATCAAGGTCATTGTCTTGTCCTGCAACAATGGCAATGATACACGAGGCATTGAAGGCTCTATGACTCAAAAGCTCCAAGTCAGGCAAACAAAATTAATTGAATTATGTCTGTTATCAAGACCAGGCAATAATTGCAAGCAATGCAAGGTGGAGGAGATTCTTGGTGGTAAAAACTTCTCATGCCATTGCAGTGCCAAAACAATATGGCTTAGTAAACATAATTGAGATAAATCACAGAGCATGGGAAGGCAGGGTCAACTGATGCATTTATGAGCACCAGAAAGTAAAAAATCAAATAAATCAGGAATCTTTCCCAAACATCTCTATGATGTAGTTTTCATCATTCATCTATTGTGATCTAATAGTTACTCATGTCAAATCATGGGAATATAAATTTGGTTAGTTTATATCTTATTTGGTATTCTGGAAGAATCAATTGACCATATTTTTCTTGATTTTATTATCAAGAGTCTCCTTCACCCTTTCAGGATGGAAATCCAAAAGGATCACTATATCAAATAGTGACTGCTCAAGGTTTTCAGGTATCTCAAAGAACTTTCTATTGATGCATCCAGATGATCTTCAATCAAGCTATTGGTTACACTCCTTAGTGTCTCCCTATATATTTCATAAATAGGATATAATTTATTCCAATTCTCTAGGCCACTGATCTTCTCCTTCCTGTACTGATAGGCCCCAAAAAGGGAAAAATTAAGTAAATGAATAATTTCTCCCAAACATCTCTCTAATGTAATTGTCACCATTCATATATTGTGACTTTATAGTTACTCATGTCAAATAATGGGGATGGTACTCTGGATTGACAATCATTTTCTTGATTTTATTATCGTGAGTCTTCTTAACTCTTTCAGGATAGAAATCCAAAGGGGATCACTATATGAAACAATGACTACTCTAGGATTGAAGGTATCTCAAAGAACCTTCTATTGATGCATCCAGATGATCTACATTCAATCTATCTTTTGCACTCCTTAGTGTCTCCCTATACATTTCACAAATAGGATGTAATTTATTCCAATTCTCTAGACCACTGATCTTCTCCTTCCTGTACTGATAGTAATCCCCAAATAAGTGTGACTTCTTCAAACACTTTTTTGGGACACTGCGATCCCAATTACCCACTACACGCAAACTCTTCCTACCCTGATTGAGATTGCTTTTGAGCCATGCCTTGAATTCTATTAGAAACTCGGCTTTCAAGCCAACATGTGTTGCAATCAATACTTCCCCTGCAGTCAAAGTTTGTGTTCCATCACCATCTTTACTAGATGCCACTTCTGATGCTTTTATTCCCATTTCATCCGAAAGCATTGCTAACATCTTCAATCGTTCCTGGAAGATTTTGGATATCTTTCCCTTTTCAGCAACAAAAAAAGTCCTTGTATACTCCTCTACCCATGAATGATCATAGACATAGAAAGTAGCATTTTTTTGCAAAGTTATCCTTCCATTCATGGTGTTGATCAATTTTTTTACTTTACTTGCAATTTCAGCCTTCTTCAAAGCTTTCCAGTTCACGTTTTCTGATGATAAATCAAGTGCATCAGATATGGCTCCCATCAATGATAAAATGGCTCCTTGATGTATGATTCCACTGGATAAAGCATCCATCACAAACTTTGAATTTCTATAGGTGTCATCATAAGTCATCATAAAGATTAATGCTCTCCTCTTTTCCAACAGATGTCCATAGTTGAAATTAAGGTGTTGCATCTTTTCTGTATCCAGGTTTTCTAAAATTGAAAGGAATTCTTTCCATCTACCTTTTCCATAATCAAGAAAGTCTGGAAATAATTTATCAAATTTCAGTAGCTTTCCAAGTGCATAAGAAGCAGGTGGAAGTGCCATTTTTTCATACTCAAAATTGTAAACACATTGTCTTTCAACACATTGTGCATGCAATTCTAATACTCTCCTATGAGACTCTTCTATGTCACCAAACATATCCTGGAAAGCATGAATAGGTATGAGCCAACTGTCTTTTGCAACCAGGAATTTCTTGTGTTGGACATATTTAAAGTGAACATCTGTCACATTGATCTTGATATTCTTTTGTTTGTTGTCAAAATTAAGGGCATATTTCAGAAAAACCAATTCAGGAATCTTGAACAGCTGTTCTTTGATTTCTTCAATCTGGTTCTGAGTCATTGGGGGTATGAGTTCCTGTGAATGCAAGTTTGCAGATGCTGAAGTTTGCTGCTCAGGATCCATTGATATTCTTTTACTAGGACCCTTTTTCCTTGGATTCTTGAGCTTTTTAGACATTAGCTTCAGGACCTTTCCTCTTTCTTCTTTTCTACTCAAAGCCTGAGACAATGTATACTTGGTATTATTTTGATCATAAGAGGGAATTTCTTCCAAACCTTTTATCCCTTCATTTTTGAATACATCAACATCCAGTGAGAAGATATTTTTTCCTTCTTCTATAGCATTCTCTTCCTCTTTGTTTATCCCTTCATTCTTGAATATATCAACATCCAGTGAGGAGATATTTACATCTTCTCTAGCATTCCTTTCCATCTCCTTTCCAATTATCTCTTCCTTGTTTGTGAAGTTTTCCTGTGGCAAATCCAAGGACCTTTCAGAAGCTGACTGGAATGGTGAAGCTTGATTGAGGGAATGCTTTAGTGGTCTGATTGACAAATTCTTCTGTGAACTTCTGGTCCTTGATCTCATTGGATATGTATCCACAACTGAACTCTTGATAATCTGGCTTTCAGGGATTCCTTTGGATACCTTCTTTTTCTGATCATTGGGAATAATTTCATTTGTCACAAGACTCAGATCCTCAACTTTGGTGGTGTTCTCTGCCACAACAGATTTCTTTGGTGGGGATTTTGACTGCAGAGCATGAAGTTTTCCTTTGACAACCCATCTTTCTTTCAAATCTTTAGGAAATCTCAAAATTCCTTGGTCTCCCACATCCTTTGATCCCTTTTCTGACTCTGAGACAATTTCTTTTTGGTGAACTTCTCCACTGCTTTTACATTGTTTTGGGTCATTCAAATCATATTTGGTCTCAAATCCCTGCCCTTGAATATCTCCTGATATCTGTTCAATAGAATTGTTGTTTGTTTTTTTCTGTTGTTCATTAATATTTACATCCAGGTTGATCTCTTTCTTGATATTACTTGGAACAACAACTTCAGGAGGTGTTGAAACTTCCTTCACTTTGTTTTTCAGCAACTGGTGTGAACTCACTTGGATTGGCAGGTCATCTTTACCTCTGTTGGTAAACAAACTAGGTGTGGCGGCATGACTGATGGTTTTCTGAAATTCCAAATATGAGGTTGATGGGATCTCATCTTCTTTCTGGTTAAAACTTTGAGTCGGAGGTACAGATTTTTTTCCTTCAATTACATGTCTTGCTGACCTGTTTGGTGCCCTTGAGGGAAGTCTAGGAAATGAAGTCTCATATACATCTGGTACAATCATATATTCCTCCCTGGATCAAAATTTGTATTGGGATTACTTAAATCAGATCCATGAAAATTGATGGATTTTGTTCAAATTGAATACATACCTCACTATCTTGTTGGGAAAATTGGACCCCCTTGGGTCCTTGCAAGATGGCTTTGAGACTTCTGACATTCCAAGGCTTCCTGGCTGATGTTCAAAAAATGAAAAACCAGGTATGGCAATAGAGCCAACAGGGATTGAATCCTTCTTGGATGTCTTTTGTGTTTCATAGAGATTTTCCAGAGATATTTGGAGCCCCTTCCAAATATTGTATTGATGAAGGTTAAAATCTGAGATTGAATTAGTGGTTTCCTTCTTTGAAATCAATGAAGAGTAGGATACCTTCATGAGTAAAAGACACTTGTAAATCAGGAAGATCTTCATAGAAGCCCAAGCTTTCATTCCTAGAATTTAAAGATAAGATCTTCAAGTCCAGGTGTGAAATTGGTAGCATATGATATGCTTCTTACAGATACTCACTAAAGAATAACATTTTTATATGTTCATGCAATCTTAAAGTTAAATATCCTCAAACATGTATGAAAATTATGGTTTGAAATTAAACCACTGAAACAAACTCAATATCTGTTGCTGTAGCTCATAGAAATCTATTAGCCAACACAGATCTCATTCAAAACTGTTCACAATCAATGCAATAATTCTGTTTTGAAGATCTAGACTTGAACATTAAGTACATTTTGTCCAAGAGACAGTTTGATGACCATTCCAAAGACTTTCATTGGGGTTTTAAAGATTAAATAAGGCATGAGTGATAACACTACACCAGATGACATCTTTTCCCAGGGGTATAGAAAATTAGTGTGCCACTGTGTATAGAAGGATATGAGTAGAGTACTTTTATATACCCATAAAGATACACTCATCTATGCCCATACAACCCATCATGTTCTATACCCACAGATAACAATCTTTCTATAACCATGTAAAATCAATTTAAATAGATACTGGAGGTACTTTTCGAGCTTTATTCAACAGGCAAGAATGATCAATCCATCAGTGATGATGTATGAATGTGAATGGAATCTGCCAATCTGTGCAAAATTACATACACACTCACATATGTTGCCAAGAATGCAAGAGTATCCTTTGTGAGATTAGAAATGTCCAAAAAATGAGAGATTCTATGCACTGTGGTGGTGGCTTCTGTTTGGGCTCAAGATATGCCACCGGTGAGATATGCAGCTGAACCAATAGTTCAGTATTTTTCATGAAAAAAGAGGTATAGGTGAACGGCAGTGATGGTAAAGACTGGATAATTTAATAGGATTGAAATCCAAGTTAAGCTATTCAAGTGAAGTGTTTGAAGTCAATCATTATTTGACAATTTCTGACCAAATCAGCAAGAAACTTATCTAACTTGCTAAAGGCCCCAGTCAGATGAACCAATTGTCTGGATGAAATCCAGGTACCACTGAAAAGTAATCAATATACATTCCTGATGGTTGGTGATATGGGAATAATCCTATCACAACCAACATCTTGTCAGGAATCTCTATTGTGGGCTAGATCCCTGAGGTTTGAGTTGAGGCAGGAAATGAGTGGTTGGATTTTATGAAAGGATGGTATGATCACAAACTATCTGGCTGGGCACAGAAGTAAAAGGACGCCTTGGAGGACCCAGAATTTGGTACAAGGGCTGGTCTACTCACCAAGCCCAAAGAGAAAAGTAGTACACAGAGCCAGCTTCCAGCCAATGTCTGTCCAACAAAGCAATGCTCTTTTGAGCTATGGCTGTGCTTCCCGTTGAGCTAGCCTGACTGATCCAGCCTTTCTGGTACATGATCATGAAGCATCCTTGAAGAAGATGAGAAGAAGTCAATCTTCTCTACTGTGAGGGTAGGGTACTCTTTGGGTATACTCTAAGCTCACTAAAGCTGGGAATAGGGTAATTGGGTATTATAAAACAATTTATTTATAATTATAAAAGATATAATTAATGAAAGCTGGATCCAGGGCTTTCCTTCAATCTTCCAATTGACAGATTAAAGAGTGAGGTATATATAACTAAACTGGTTGTTCTTATGGTCACCAACCTTGGGTTGTTCTTATGGTCACCAACCTAAGTACTTGTATATAGGCCACTAAACTTTGAGTTGTGAGAGGTCACCAACCTAGTATTGATTCTACTTGGGGAAAGTAGAGGATCCAGAAAAGTGAATGGTGTATTACTTACTTTTAGTCAGGAAGCTATTTAAAGTACTGAAGCAAATCACTAGCCTTATTTTCATAAGACTCTTGATTATGAACTTCAATATTAATTTAAAGTTGTTCTTTAAAAGTGATGTGTAACAAAAGCTTTGGGGAATCTGCTTGAAGGCTGAGAGAGGAGAGGTTTATATACTCTTCTCTCCAAAGATAACTGTTATCACTACAATGGTTGAGGGTTATCCTTAATTATTATTATTATTATTATTATTATTATTATTATTATTATTATTATTATTATTATTATTATTATTATTATTATTATTATTATTATTATTATTATTATTATTATTATTATTATTATTATTATTATCATTATTGCTACTTATAATTAATTACATATATATGTTGATTATACTATGTAGTACAAGCATTTTAACTCTTGACACTGAGTTATGAGGTGAAATTGGTGTCTTATTACATATTACATGTGGTTTTGAGTGTACAGGTATATGTAATTAGTGTTTTTAGATGGTTTATTACATGTTACATATATTCTCTAAGCTTTATGTACCTGTAATTAAGTTTCTTAGAGCATCCGCACTTGTGTGGTAAATCACATGCGGTAAGGTGAAATTTACCGCAACTGCAGGGCCTTTCCCACACTGGTGAGAAATTAGCCCCGCGGTAGTTAAATTTTGATTGATTTGCTTTAGCAAATCAATAAATTTACTGATTGGCTAACGCATGCGGTAGCCAAATTGCCAGCCCCTTCTTCACTTCTCAAGCACACCAACTTGCCAACTTGCCAACTCAACTCAACTCTGACTCAACTCCTCTCAATCCCTCTCAACTCAAAACACCTGACTTAAGAATCAATGGAGACCCAACTGTCTTCTAATTCATCAAACTAATGGGTATGTCTGGTTTCTTACTGTATGATTCTCTTTATCCAACGTTCATTAAGATTGTTCTACCTTACATGTGATTATATATATGTTCAATGAGATTTTAGATTGATTGATATAGAATTTGTATCCTGTGGATTGGGCTTAAAAGGGTTTTAAATCAAAGTGGATCAATTTCTGATTGTTTGTTTTGATTTTAGAAGGTTTTTAATGTTTCTTGTCCTTTGGATTGACTTCAAAAGGATTTGAAAAATAAATATCACATTCAACTGGAGAGGATATATGCAAAAGGGTCTTCATTCTCTGCATTTCTTTTCAAATTCTCAATGGTCATCAACATGATCAATTTTAATTAATGGTGCAATGAATCTTTATTTGCTTGTCTACAAACCTCTCTGTGCCAACCATCCAGCGGTGATGAGATCTCAAGTTACTCTCAAATGAACTTTCCTGTCCCAAAGCTCTTCTTCCCTGGCAGGGATCGCTTGGAACGCACTGATTGATTGAAAAGTTGATTGATTTTGTTGTTTGGTATATTTTGAGTCTGTAAACTCTGCATCAGTGTGGAATCCAAATTACTTCTTGAGTTAGTTAACTACTGTGCAGGTAATTTTGGCACAAGTGTGAAATTTGGTCACGTTAAGTAATGTTTTACTTAATGTAGAGGTTGTTACCGCACATGATCAAGTTAACAACTGCAAACAAGTGTGGATGCTCTTAAGGGTTAGTTATATGTTACAAGTTAGTCTTTGGGTACATACATATGTACTCAGGGCTGACATCTACCCTGATCCCACTTTTTGGAGTCCAATGATTTGATAATCATGAGTCTATGGTAAAGCATAATCCATCAGTTGTTATCTTTCTGCGAAAAAATCAAATTAATAAATCCCTCAAGATTTTTGTATTTAAATTTCTATCAAGAAATCAATTTATGAATTGTTTCAAAGTATATTTAATAAACAAGAACAAGTGCCCTTTTTTCATAAGAATGCACCGCCAACATAGATGCCTCAGATTGAAAAATCCGAGGCATCATTGGATGGAAACCCTCGGACAGGTCTTGTCCAAGGATTTGATCCGAGGTATTTTTTGACGCAAAATAATACCTCGGATCAAAACCTCGGAGAGATTTTGTCCGAGGATTTGAGTCCGATGATACCTCGGATTTTTCAATCCGAGGCATCTTTGTTGGCCGTGATGTAGATTGATTCATGAGTTCTTTTCTGGAGTCTATGTATAGGTTAATTTTTAGGTTTCAATTTGTTCAAACATTCATCTAAATCAAATCTTGAATTTAAAAAACCAAATATTTCAAGATGAGTAAACCAAAAGCAGTTTGTTTGATCATCTGTCTATATAATAATATAAATTGCAGAAGCCTATATGTAAGTTAATCTCATGTGAAAGATTGACAAGACATCTTTTGTTTCTAATAGAGGAGATCTTAGCTCAGTGTTTGAGTTTGTTCTACTCAAGTCAATTTGTCAGCCCTGAGTACCAAACCATAGTACCAAAGGCTGACACATAATAATAAGAAAAGCTTTAAAAACAATAATTACAACTCAGTCTCAGTCTGAAGAGTCAAATTACATATGAATTAACATATGTAACATGTGTAAACCATATGTAAAAGACTGTGTAAGTACACAACTCTTATATTTCCTAAGATTACATACATTGTACAACTGTAACATGTATGTAACAAAGTAGAAAGGTTTATAACTATATGTAATAAAACCTAACCTTGGAACCGCAAATTGTGCGCATAAGATTTTCAATCAAGAACCCTTAAACCTGCATAGTAGCTCCATTAGTCAGAGTTTAAAGTGCTAAACACTATAAAAGAATTTAGTGTTTTTAATCAATTTATTGCTAGTCAGGAAGATAATTGATTAAGGGAAGTCACTGAAGATTCAGTGCACAGTTTCTACTAAAATACTAGTAGAAACTTCTGACAAATCCCTTGAAAAGCCTTTCTTTAAAGGTCCTCTAACTGCAGTCTATGCTTGTTTGTTACAAGTATTGAAATAACAAAACACGGAATGAAATTCTACGCGCTTGAGCAGATGTTTGCACCTGGACAGACAGGTGAGATGATTAAGCTCAAAGACTCGAAAAGACTTGTAAAGAGAAAGATGGGCGGAGGGAACTTGACGCCTTACCTGGACAGACAGGTGAGATGATTGAGCTCAAAGACTCAAAACAACTTGTAAAGAGAAAGATGGATGGAGGGAACTCGACGCCTTACCTGCAAGAGAGCAGGACTAAAACAAGCAGAAAGTTGTGAGTGAAACTTTCCCTAACGGTGTTTATATATTCCAAGTAATCAAAAGAAATAAGAGAAAGAGCAGTAAAAAGAGCTATGTATTCACCTGGACAGACAGGTGAGATGATTGAGCTCAAAGGCTCGAAAAGACTTGTAAAGAGAAAGATGGGCGGAGGGAACTCAATGCCTTACCTGCAATAGAGCAGGAGTAAAACAAGCGGAAAGTCTAGAACGGCAAGGTGAGCGGTTGTCGTATACAATGTACTGGAGACAAAAAACTTACTCTTAGTGAAACTTTTCCTAACGGTGAGGAAAGAACTCAGAGTCAGAGAGGACAGAGGTATATAAGAAAACACGAGGCGAACAAACAGAGAGAAAATTTTTGACAACATTGTATGAGCTAGCCCAGAAGGGAAACCTAGAGAACTACGGGTAACAACTAACACTCAAAGCGGATCAGTACTACTCCCAAGAGGTAAGTTCTTCCATATCTATATCACCCTTGAAACTACATCACACCTGACCATTTCTCCCTTCCATCCTTCTCCTTGCTTGTGATGTACTTGACCATAACACCCTTAATACCATACCGTGGTTTTTACCATAACAAGTATAGTACAAGAACCTTGTTTTGTCCTCCTTTAAACTTTGTAAATCAGAATCCCTACAAGTTTCTACCTGTTCCGTAGTGATTTATCCCTGGCCCCCAAATGCCAGGGATTGAGCTGCCCAAGCAATCAACTTTTTTTGTAAAACATCAGAACAAGCACCAATCCCCCCATTCCCCAAACTTCTTTCTCTCTGAGACCTAACCTGGTTCCTGTACCCTGACCCCAGACAGGTCACCAGTCTGCCAGGGAATCACTGGGGATCCTCAAGTACCATTCCCTGGTGGTTCTTGGCAAATACCCCTGAGCACAACCTTTCCCAAACTTTGATTTGTCTGCTTTTCACACAAATCTTTTCCTTGGCTTCCCTGAGGAGAATCACTCTTTTTTGACTCTCAGAATGACCCTGGGCCTGTCCATCCCCATGGTTCTGGGACCCTTTGGATGCCAAAACAACCTGCAGGGGTGTACTGTGGGGAACCCCAATTTAGAATTGCTTTTTTGACTCTCAGATTTACCCCTGGACCCAACCATCCCCATTGTTCTGGGAACCTTTGGAGGCCAGGAAAACTCCCCAGGGTGTACTGTAGGGATCCCCAATTTGACAGGTCTTGGGGCTCAACCTGACCTACCACCTGGCACCATAACATCTGTCTTAGTTTTAGAGGTCTTTTGTGAAACTGTTAAAGTTCTACAACCAATTTCACAAGGAATTTATAAAAGATGTATACTTCTAGTGACTATGGGGTGGGTAAGACCTTTTTCATCTCCAGAGAAATTCAACCTAATACTCACTCTGGTCTTCCTATAACTTCAAACTTACAGATCAGAAACCAGACTGAGATAAGCTTTCAAAAGTTTTCATCACACTTCAAAAAACTTATATGTACCCAACCTAAATGAATTTCTACAGGTAAGAAAGATTACTCAATCAAAATAATTTGACAGGCACTGTGATTTAGTTTATCTAGCTGCTCATGAAGGTCACTCTTTTAAAAATTCAAAAAAAATTACTTGGAGGTGAGGTTTTTACACCAAGGCTTAATTGGAGGTACATACTAGAAAGTTGACAAATGCATTCAAAATAAACTCAATTACAACAATAAGAATGGATGAGTTCCCGGGATGTTTGGTTTGGAAAGTTAGATTCTTCAAATCAATTGAGTTGAGTTGAATGTTTTTATTGGTCTAGTCTTCAACTTATGAAAGCTTTTTTCCCTTGCTTTCTCTCTTTCTCTCTTTCTCTCTTTCTCTCTTTCTCTCTTTCTCTCTTTCTCTCTTTCTCTCTTTCTCTCTTTCTTACTTCTTTTTATGTATGGTCATCAGTATAAGATCCTTTTCAACATATATTCAATTCTTATCCTCCGCAAAAGAAAACCCAATCTTTCAACAACATTGTATCATATTTTTTTTCACATATTTATCCAAAGTAAAGAAACCAGAACATATATATCCAAAAAAAAACGTAGCATAAGTGATATCCAAAAAAAAGAAATTTCCAAGAAAAGAAAAGAACAGCAAAAAACGATATCGAAAAACAAAAGACCAAAACTTAAAAGAAGCAAACCATCCCAACCACATAATGTTTCACACAAACTCAACCTCAACACCCGCCATCTCCAATTTCTTCAAAACATCCGTCTCATACCTAACCCCACGATTTCCCAACTTCCCATCCTCTCTATTCCTCGTACACCCAACCAACTCCAACCTAATTTTTCTTTCCTTCCTACGATTTCCCAAACAATCAATCAAATCAATTTTAGGGTTCCATAACTTAATCTCTTCTAATGTGCTAGGTAATCGGTCTAGATAGGTTGTGGTGATTAAATCGGATTTGTAGTGAGACAAATCTAATGATTTCAACCGGTTTAAACTCATTAACCCTTCATCCAAATTCATTTCCTTCCTACCTTCTTCTGATCCTAATGAGTTTTCTTTTTCGTTAGTCAAACAAGTCGGATTAAACCAATCTTCTTCAATACATAAATGTTCTAAACTGTTACTAAAGTTTTGTAAAAGATGATTGAATGGTTCAAGTTGATCAGATCGGTGATGATGGTTTCCAACTCGGCTTTGTAGTTTCGAATCAAGAGGTAAAGAAAGGTTAAATTTTAATCGGTTTAATGTATTAGGTACTAATTTTTTTAGTATTAAACATATTTCATGAATCGTTAATGGGATTCCATTCCCGATCCATAGTTCATGGATCGATAAAAGATGATTAAGTTTAGGAATAGAGTATGAACTAGATCGTTTCAAATCGATTTCTTGATTAGGTTTCAAAAAAGTATTAGTCGTATTAGTAGAAGAAGAGATCGTCAAAAGAGGTCCGCTGATGATGAGTTTCTTCAAGACTGATGGGTTAGGTAACAAACTTAATCCGTTAAGTAAACCGAATAATCCTAGATGATCACCTCCTCCTATGATCGTTAAAGATCTTAAGGAACTTAGATGATGGGAGAGATTGCTTAGAGATTTTAACACTTTTGTACAGATCACTTCGGGTGCGTGGATGTAGAAGTCTTGGAGGTTGGTCGAGAGTGAGAATAAAAGGGATGGGATTTCTAGGATGTATAGGCTTGGATCTTCTGATGGTTCGAGGTCTGGGTTCTTAGTGATCGGACTTGAAGGTTCATTAAAACAGATATTAGATTCGGTTCATGGTCTTTGGGACGCTTAGAGAGTTTGATGACTTACGTTTTAGGAGGTTCAAGTCTTCTTTGGTTCGGGTAAAGTGGATTAGGTTTCATAGGAGAAGGATGATGAGTAACCAAAGAAGTAAGTAAAGTAGAAGACCTAGATCGTACTATACTTTCTTCCTTGACAGTCACTCCATTCTGGTTCAACAAAACCATCGATTGTCGATTAGGTTTTCCATTTGATCTGGCTTGAGATTGAGATTTAAAAGAATGAAGATGAGTAGGTAGGATTAAATAACAAGATTTGATTAATTGAGATAAAGATGAATTTGATTCGAGTGATCGAGTAATGGATTGGATTTTCGTTAAATTGTTTAGAATTAAACATGACCATGAGATGGTTCGGGTGATTGATAAGAATCTTTTGGAAATTAATTTTAGTTGATGTGATTGAAGTTGAGATTCGATTAAATGATTTAAAACTTCAGTCTTGATCAAATTACTTTGATGAGTTTCTTCATTTGAATTTATGGGGATTTGTGATAGAAAGAATGATGGGTTTATAAACTTGAAGACTTTTGTCCATATCTCAATTGATAATCCATGAATGAGTTCAGGTTTGATTGGATTTGAAAGGGTTTGATAATAAGTTGAATTAGATAATTGAATTAAATCAAACTTTGGATCTCGTTTTGATTTGTGTGTTTTAAGTTTTTTAGTTGGAGTGGTATGGTTTTGGTTTAGTTTTAAATTCGAATTCGAATTGGATGGTGATGAAGGATTGATAAGGTCTTGATCTGATAGTAGTAAATCGTCTTCTTCAATCGTTCGTTTACCTTTACCTTTGATAGTTGGATGATCAGTATGATTTGATGATTGAAGTGAAGTAGTAGATTGAAGTGAATTGGTTGGATTGGGTTGGTTTGATGAATTAAGTTGAATTGAAAGTTTTACATTTGATTGGACGGTAGATTGAGATGATTGAGATGAAGCAATCAAGTTTAATAAATCTAAAAGTGATAATACTTGATTTGATGGTAATGATTTAAAGTAAGATTGAATATCTTGAGTATCATATAATTCAAAATGATGATGTTCAAGAAGTGATGTTGTTGTTGATTGATTTGGTTTGATTTCTGATGGTTTGATTAGTTCTTGATGATTTTCCTTTGGATGTTCATTTGCTGGATTTTCTTTTATGGGTGGTTGTTGTTCTTGTTTAGTTTGTGATCTTGTTTTAGGTCTGAGTGTTGGTGGTTGTTGTTGTTGTTTTGATTTCTTTTTTCGAAAGAATGATAACATTTTCTTATGCTTTGTTGGTTTTACTTGATTTGGTATTTTGGAGCTTTCTTTGAGACTTGAGCTCAGCGACAGTCTGGATGTATCCTGTCAAGTCTCGTTCGATGAGTCAATTGGCAATTTGTAGCAATTTCAATTCAACCATCACTCAAACTCAATTACAAAACATCTTCTAGGTTCTTCTTTCTTCTACTAATCCCACATCATCAATCATCATCATCAAATCTTGTAATGTCATTCCAATCCACCAAAATCAATCACAAAAACCACATCCATCAAATCACCACAAAATACATCTATCTTCTATCTATCTAGTATCTACAACCTCAAGGTCCAAACAAACCCCAATCAATAAAAACCAATCCAATCTTAGCACAAAGAAACCCAAACACAGCCTTCCAAAAAGTAATCAAAAGAACCGTGATCGGTAAAGGCAGTACACCAGAACTAGCAATATCTGAAACAAAATTATCATTTTGTCTACAACCCACCCAAAAAAACAGTGATAAATTTCTTGATTTTTTTTGACGATGGGCTTTTTTTTGGGGTGACTACTTACCGTTTGATTCGATACTTTGAATCGGTTGGGGATTTTTCTAGGTCGACTCGGATTAAGAATTTAATTCTTCTGGGCCAGATGCCTCTGGGTAATAAACGAATTTCAAGTTCTTCAGTTAATTCTATTCACCCCCCCCCCCAAAAAAAATATCTCATCATCGTTAGTTTTGGGTTTGGTTAAACTTAGATGACATGAGATCTTTGGTTTACCTAGGGTTGCTTTTGTGTGATCTTGATTGAACATCACTGCATCAAATTCGATTTTATTATTAATAGTCATCACTCGACTAATCATAAGAAATTCCCCCAACCCCGAACAAAAAAAAGGATTAAAAACCGTTTGAATAAGTTTATGCAAAAGGTGGTTTGGTCTTGATGACTTACAAGAACTTATAAATCCCTTTCAAGTTTTCTTTTCCTCTAAATCTTAATGCTTGATTAATAATCGGATGTAAGATATAAGCATCTTCTGTAAAATATCTAAATCCCCAAACCAAAAAGAAAAAAAAGACTTGGTAAGCAAGAGGGTATGTTAAGAGAGAGAGGGCTTTGGTGAGTCGTACTTATCGACATTCTTGATGATTTCAGATGCTTCATATGGTTCAGTTATTGATCTAACTACTTCTGTTAACTTATACAATTAAAAAAACAGATACCCATGGTGATCAATTCGGTTTTTGAAGTATAATTTGGAGAGTCTGTTTTGATAGAACTACTTGACTTACTTCTTTTACTGGGTTATTCATCCTTCTATTGACTTGAACGTTTACTAAAACGAGAATTATTCAGGAAATGTATATAATGGATAAAAGAAATTTAAAAATCAAATAAGTACAGTCAATCTAGATTAGCTTGGCCAATCGAGAATTTTTATTTTTATTTTCAGACGTATACAGGCCAATACAGGCCATTTTATAAGCATACATAGCCTTCAACTGCGACACCACATTCAGTTGAATGGGCCCGTTTTGACGATTCAAGCTTCTGACTGATCAGCATCTATCAGCATCAATCCATTCCGTCCAAACCCATCCTTAAATCACTTGAATCCTCTTTACCTCGTCACTAACTATCCTTTGAAAATTGTGCATATCATCTAGGCTTTCATCCCGCGATCCAACCACCCTTTCGATCTCGGCTGTAACAACTCGGCTTTGACTCAAGTAAGCTCTTTGAATATTGTTCTCATATTGCGATCGATCATCTGATCTTTGAATATCTTCCTTGTCTGTCCAATCGGTCCAATGTCCTGGTCCATTCATCAGATATCTCCAAGCTCATCGACTCAATTCCCTATCTTATTACCAATTCAGGGTGTGTATTTTCTTTGACTTAAGTCCTGTTCACCGACTAAACCCCCGCTAATTGAAATGTTACATTTCTTTGGACTCCCTTCTGCCTGTCAACTCAAGCCCTGGTCTTTGGTTTAGACACTCTAGAGTAATTTGGGGATCCAGCAATCTAATAGATCCAATCCAGCGGCGAGGATCGATCTTGTTTTATTGCAAATCATCAGTAAGAGGCTACTTACCCAGTCTGTGGATCTCATTATATTGTTTTTTCTTGCTATCCGATTTCGCTGTGCTTCTCGAGAAAAAATCAGTGTCTTATCTGTATATAGGAATTTTGTACCTGTCATCCCAATGCTCAATCAATTCAATAACATGGACTGTTTACTGTCATCATCCTCAGGTCTAGTTGATATAATTTCTGGGCTTTTTCTGTTGCCTATGAGTTCATTAGGCCCACAGTCTCAGAATGCACAAACCTCTTGCAAATGCTTAAAGACTTGCACTGTACTTTCTTACTTTGCGGTCATGAAGAACTGTCTTATTTCCTTTTCAGTAGGACCTGAGATCATACTTGGTGGTTGCTGGCTTCCTTGCATACTCCAGTGTGGAGTACACGATCTATGACTTGATCTAAGAACTGTTGGCACTCTGCCTATCTGTGACCATGATCATTGCACACGATCTCCTCACTTTCTGGCATGGTATCAATGGATTTGGAAAGCGATTGAAGCACCACATGAAGAGACTGTATCCCAATGGCAAGCTGAGGCTAGATGAGATACAAGCAGAATGAACATTGAGACAATGGATTTGATCTGATGTGACAGATTCAAAGCTAAGGAAGATAAATAAGAAGGGAACGATTGAGTTAGTCAACAAATGGCCAGAGCTTAACAGTTGAATTTACGAGTTGGATCTGGAGCCTAAAGAAGGGATTCAAAAGTGAGAACACGGGCTAAAGACAGCCCTTCACTTGCATCAAAGCCAAGATTTCAAAACCGATAGACTCAAATAGACATAGAGGGTTGAATCGAAGACGCAGAGGGCCAAATCGAAGCTTAGAGGTCTGAATTGAAGTAAAGAGATTGAATTCAAAGCCTAGAAGACAAGGTCAAGCTCACACTAGAGGTCCTTGGCTGAAATGGAATATGGGATCGATGCGTGTAGGATGAAAGTACGGTGCTGAAGGTTCATAATAGTGAAGCACTGTTGACTGTGGTCAGCAGTGGTTGGTCTGACTCATGACCAGACAAACATAAGCATATGAATCATATGTTTATGCTTATAGATTTACCTGTATTGCTGTAAAAAATAAATAAATAAAATCTGCTCGGACAAGCTAATCTAGATTGACTGTATTAGATTCTTTCAAAAAGGTTTCTCTTAAGGAATGATATGAATGACTCTCTCTCTCTTATGTGAAGAGTTTTTGAAAGGTTTTTTAAAATTCGTATGCGCATGATATGATCATGAATCATGATGTGATGGCTTCTGAAATTCAAGGGTTGTCTATCACCGAGCTTAAAGGACTGCACAGCTTTTTGATCAGTACGGTTGGTTGATTTGGTGACACAGCGTTAATCTTTCGAGCGGTTGGGTTCGTTGGAATCGAATCAGATTGGTTGTGATGCTTTTTCACATCTTTTGAACTTTCTGAAACACACATCGACCGGTTTTGTTGTTTGATTATCCAATTCATCTCAATTTCTTAAAAACCAATTCATCATAGTCATCCGTTTTCTCAGAAACTGATCCCAAGATCTTTTGAATAAAGTTTGAGATATAAATGTGTATAATGTTTTTAGACGATGTGATGAATTGGATTTTGTTTGCTCGCGATTTTAAAGTATCCAAAGATACGCAAGTAAAAGTTCTCCCTAAGGAAACTGGGATTTTGAACTTTTTTACAGAGGATGAACGTGGAGGAGATTTTAATGAAGAAATTGGTTTTATACATAGTGCTTCTGTTCATGATGAAACCAAAGCCATTTCCAAATCTCGTGAGGGATAGGTACCACTCTGGCTCATGATTCTTAAAGCTGATGACCAGATGAAAAGTCCCGAGTGATGCCAAGTCTAAGACTGTAGTCAGATTGTGAAAGATTTTGAGGATTCAAGTCTTTATTGCAGCAGAACTCAAATAACACAGATAGTCACAAAACAACTAAAACAAGAAAGTCAATAACATAGCATAGCAAATTGAGATTGATGTAGACAAAGTTTGAGTACCTAAAACAAGATCAACACAGGTATGAACTCGTTGAGTATAAGTAACTATTAGGATTAGTGGATAGTCCCTACTGTTGTCTACAATTGAAAGAAAGATTAATACAATATTTTTATTGGTTTTATAACAATCACCAGTTAATTTATTCATCTTATAACAATAGCTAGGTAGTGATCTCCTCCTGCAGTTAGTTATTCTCAACAAGACTGTTTTGTCGTGGTGATCTTTGGAGTTGTTATAACGTGATTATACTTCTTGAGTGATTGTCTTATTATGATATGAAAGATATGAGATGGAAAGTAAAATGAAATAGAAAGTAGAAAATTAATATTGAGACAGAAACTGGGCACAACTCATCATTCGAACAGGACAGTACATTATAGGAAAATAGGAGAAATAGGAGGTTCATATTCTTTCTGTGAACACATAGATTCTTTGGGACATTATGTAAAATATCAAATGGTTCTAAGAGCATCTCCAACGCGACTCTGTAAACGTAAGTTTAACGTAGCCATTTAGACATAAACGTAAGCTGTAATTTACGTTTAGCGGTTTGGCCACAAAAACCAACCTCCAGCGCGCACATGATTTGTCACAAGTTGCCATGTGTGTGATCCCTCGTTTTCAGCTTCGCGGTTCTCTCGTGTCAAGTTCTCGAAATCGCTAGGAAAAATTTGACGTTTGGAGAATGACAGAGGAATGACAGAGTTGCCGCGTATTGGACGAACGTGGTAATCTTATTCCCGCATTCAGTCGATCACAATCGATGATCACATCATCGATTGTGATTGATGGCATCTTATTATCAACTTGGAAGATAAGTATCTGGCATTTACGGCAGCCGCATAACCTTGGGTGGGGGCACCTCAGGTGCGCGTTGGAGTTAGTCAATTCTCAAAAACGAATACAGCCTGCTGTACTTCTTCAGCAGGCCCAATTCGGATGTGTATGAGTTTTACAGATACCGACTGCGTTGGAGATGCTCTAATTCTTTTGATTATGTAATTCGAGCTGAACATCATTGCTTCTACATAATACCATGACACTTTACCAGGGATGATTTCCAATCCTTAGCAGATTGATGGGGTAGGTGGTGGGACCATACACATTCCTATTGTCATTGACCTGATCAACAAACAAGAGAGATTAGGCCTGTCAGAGCGAAAAGTTCAAAAATGTTATGAGAAATTTTCGGCAGGCAAAGGTAACAAACGAATCAGGGAGTTTTTAATTTTCATAAGGTGATATCGAAGGCTTTAAAACAACTTCATCAAAAGGCTTTTTCTTGGGGGGGTTCGGCTCGATGAATCATTTCTTTTCATCAAGATCAGTTTCATCAAGTGAAAAATCAAATCAAATCCAATTTCGTTAAACTCAACTTCAGATTTAAGCTTTACAAAACCATCTCACTTGTTTGACACTTGTTTGATTGAGTGAGATCCACTAACCTTCGATTGATGAGGTTTTTTTATCTATTTATAAAATTCAAAAGGTCCTTTGGTGAGCGAACTCGCTGAGTGTTCCTCTGAGACAGGGACATGACTGAGTTTGTTTAATTCATCTTCGACTTCGAGGTCACTTTGAAATCGTAATCTTTTGAATACATCATGATAAGATCTTTCTCGATCTTGCCAAATCTCATCTCCCCACACCTAGACTTGATCTCACTTGTTTCGAAACACAAAAAAAAAAGCTTTTTTGGCCACTCCATTATCTATAAAGGCCCCACCCATTGTCTGTCTTTATCCTTCTTTCCATCATATATATTACAAAGATTCATTTATAACTGCGCACACTTTGAAAGAAACAAGTTTGGATTCATTGAGAGTAGACCTTACACTTATATTCCGAATCCAGCTTATTTATATTTTATATATTTTATATAAATATATATTATATTTATCTAAACTCCACAATCATCCTTGCTCCCAAACCCATTCTTGAACTTTTGGCGAAAAAAGCACATCTTACCTTATTTTATTTTCATATATCTAACCAAAACCAAATTCTCAAACACTAAAAAAGATGAAATCATTCTTTTTAGTTATACTTTTCTTTCCATCTTTCTTAGCTTTACCTACTCCATTCATCAAATCACTAAGATTCCAAACCGATCGACCAACTTCAATCAGACTAGCCAGACGTCATTTACTACAAACAATCTTACCAGATCATCAAGAAGTTCATCAAACCCGTCTTCATAAACGAGCCTTTAGTCGAATGAGTCAAGCAATTTTACCAGGTATGAGAAGTGGAGCTCAACATTTAGATGCAACAAATATGATACCTACTAGTGCTATCAGTACTTATGGTAGATTGATGGATGGCTTTACTGTTCCTACTAACTTTGTTGTTAAAGATGATGTTTTTAATCAAGCTGTCAAACTTAGACAGATGGATGACACTTTCGATATATATGATGGTTTTCTACCTCAGCCAGGATTAAATGTTGGTCAACTTTTTTTGTTTTGTTTTGTTGGAATCTTTTGTCTTCCTTCAAAAAGCTGATTATCTTTTCTTTGGTTTTCTGTTCATTAGCAATTCCAATCATGATAAATTTCTGGGAATTCTTTACCACTACAATGAATCTTGGGTTGATTTTTTATTTAATTTGATGGAATTTTGAATGATTTTATCAAAATGGAGATCTGGAATTATTTTTTCAAGTTTGGTTCTGTAACCTATAAGGACTTCATCTTATTTAAGCAGTTCATTGTAACTTATAAAGAATTCATCTTATTTAAGCAGTTCATTTCATTTTGAATTCATTTTATTCTATATGAAGTTTTCTTTGTTCTTTTTTCCACAACTTCTTTTGTACACTCAATATCTCACTTCTCATAAGAAACTTGATAATTACAAATACAAAAAGACAATTTATTTAAATCACCATAATCTAAAAAAAAACAAAAAAAATAAGATACATGATTGAAAAATAAGAATGGACTTTAGATTAAAAAAAACAGGTTCTTTAGTAGTCACTAGATTCAAGCTCCAAAGAATTCCTTTTCAAGTAAATATTTTCCAATGATAGCTACCCAAAAGCCTGCAAAAGATTTCATAAAAGTAATCATAGATACCAAGATCTGATTGAATGGTAAGATACCCAACACGTTGAGATCTGAAACAAACTGATCGTCTTGTCTATTGAAATCATTTCAAAAGATTTATAGAACGGAAGAAAGGTATTTTCTGGTAAGTCAATAAATGAAGAAAGGGAGATTCGTTTGGAAAAAGAATGGTATTAAATGGTTTAAAGAATGAGTGACATACCTAGTGATTCTGTATTTACCATCCGAAGATTTTTCTAAATCTAATCTACTCAAACACTTTATATGAAAGACAAACAATCCAGCTGGAAGAAATCTTGGTTCGAGACGTTCAGTGAATTCTAAAAACCAAAAACAAATCATAATGATTAATTATCATACTGGGTAAGATTGGATCAATAAGGTAAAGAGATGTTGGGAAATCAAGCTTGATTGAAATTGAAATTCATTTTACCTAGTGCTGCTTGAGTTTTGTTTTCATTAAACGTGACTGCATGAAATCTTACTTGATTATTGATTAAAAATATTCGACTTAATTTTTGGTTTTCCCCAAAGTTCAATTAACAAAATCATTGAATATTGGGAATTATAAGTAAATCGGAACAAGATTCACTTACTACACTTTATAAATTCCTTTTAAATATTCTTTTCCATGAACTCTTGCTGGTTGATTTATTAATGGATGTAAAATGAATGCATTTTCGGTGAAATACCTGTATGTATTGTAAAAAATTTAAGCGGAGATTAAATCAATCAAACTATATGATCGATGGGAAGTCTTATGGGATAGAAACCTTTCATGATTATCGAAAGGAATTTGTTTTATGAAGAGTTTCGTTGGTAAAAGAAAAGGCTTTAGTAGAAAAGAAAAAAAAGGGAATCCGAACAACCAGGTTGGAGGCTTACGTATCAAGATAGTTTGCAATTTTAGTTGCTTCATATGTTTCAGCACAGGCTCGTACCACATCAGGTAGCTCTTAGACGAAACCCAATAAGAAGTTTTGAAAGGCAAAGCAGTTAGTTTTTGAAATCACTGAAGAAATGAAGGAAGGAAGGAAACCCAATAAAACTGGACTTACTTCCTTCACCGGATCGTTCATCTTCTAACCCAAAGAAAAAGTAAAATCAAGTGATACTTAATCTACAATTCGACAAATGGATCAAAACCACCCAAGAGATAAGAAAAACACAGGTTTGATGATTTCGATTTATCCAACAAGCAAGATCGTATGATTCTTTTAATCTCCAAATTAAGTTTCAATTTATGAACATCTTCCTAAAGGAAATCAAATTGTGTGATTGTGATTCCATATAAACTAATGATTTTTAGTTCGTATTGATTTTTCTAAAGATCCTCAAAGTCATATTATTGGGTATTTCGTGGTTGATTAATTTTTCAAGTTTGTTTTCCTTTTTCAAAGAATAAAGAAAACAGTGTAAGAAAACAATCGAATCACGGATTGTTAAAAATTTGAACGGAAAGGTACCTTCAGAGAAAGCTTCAACCTACAATACCATGTCAACTTCTTTGTGATCAAACTGATCATCATCAAGGCAAAAGATCTGCATGGTCCGGAGACACTAGCTTTTGGCAATCAACAAGTGTGGCCCAGATTTATCTGTGGCGCGACCTGTGACCTGCGGGCTGGACACGGGTCCGGTCCCGGTCCCGGGTAGATCCAAGGGCTCTCAGGGTCTACTCAGGGCCAAGCAGGTCATGCTGTGCTTGGCCCTGGCTCGGGCCAGACAGGGCCAGACCCACATATACACCACAGGGGTGTTTTGCCCGCCTGCAGGCGGTCCATCCAGGCCACCTGGAGACGGTCTGCCCTTCTGCAAAGGTAGGCGGTCTCCAGGTGGCCCTCACGCGCGATGTCTGGCAGGCACCTGCTGGGCTCGCCGGTAGGCTGGCTTGCTTGCGCCCGCTGGCGGGCTGTGATCTGCCTTCCGTCCATCAAAAAAGCAGATGTACACAGTATGTACATTAAGGACAGAACCATGTCGTAGTCCTCAAGCAGATACTTCAGAATTTCCATGAAGGATTTGTTACTTTGTATAATTATATACAAAAACAAGCGACTCCGAGTTCAAACCTGAGCCAGGATCATCACGAAAGACACCAATCATATCGTGATATTGGTTTCACGAGTGATTAGCGACTCTTGATGTCCTCCAGACTCGAACTTGACAATGATATCACGTAAAAACTACACTTGGCAACCTTCTTTCCAGGTCATTGATCGTTTTTTTTGCAAAGGTTTGACAAAATTAGCAGGCAGACAGGCCGCCACCGCGTATTTGGTCTGACGATGGCCCAGAGGCCGACTACGGCCTCGATTTCTCTTGTCCATCTTCAGGCGGTCAGTGGGCCGCCGATCGATGGCCTGCCAGCCGGTCTACAGGTGGCCCTCAGGAATGACCATTCTCAGACTAAGAAAGGCCATTTCTAGACTCAAAGCCCCTCCGTGGTGTAGCGTCAAACAAGGAGTGGAGAAGGGATATTTTGGATCCAATTTATGGTTTAAACACTATACAAGCATACTTGTAAAGAAAAAACACAACTATGAGAGCCAACTTGACAATGAAGAAATCTACTATCAAGGCTATGGGAGCATGATTCACATGTGTAGAAGGCTATAAAACCATACTTGTAAAGGGAAACCAACTATGACTGCCTACTTAGAGAAGATGATGAAAAAATTGAGTTATCAGAGAATAAGATGTTCCACTTATTTCACCAATTCTTTCTTCCAGCTCTTTGGACATATTTGAGCTTCAAGATTAAGAGGAGTGGAAGAAGCGCAATGGTCACTCATGACCCTCAACACATTAGAGAAAGTACTTTCAGATGGGGCAGAAGTGAAAGGCACTGCGAGAATTGCCATTGCCACACAATCAAGGTTGGACCAAAGGTGTTGGTTGAGTTGCCAGAATTTGAGGGGGTTGCAGACTTCATCTTCTAGACTCAAGGTGCAGTCAAATATTCATTGACTTTGTGCTTCATTGGGATCATCTTGTGGTGTTTGATAAAGTGCTGAGGTCAATCAGGATTGATTGTTTCCTCAGGTTCAACAATATCAATGTTGAAACGGGATTGAACTTCATGGCTTGTTCAGTTGAGTATTTGATTAAGTTGTCAGTGACCCACCCAAGGGATTTGAGAGTCTGTCCTTTAAGTGTAGCAAGTTTCAGATGGGGTGGCAAGGATTGCAGAACAGGTGTATGGGCAGCTTTCTGATATAGGATGATCTTCTTGATCATTGGCATGATGGCAACCTTCAACTCCTTGCATTGAGAGTCAGCCCAGCCCTAGATAACAAGAAGAGAACTCAATCAGTAAGTTATTGATTAAATAAAGGAATCAAAATAGATAGAGGGAAAAATAGACTAAATGGGTACCAACTCTTTCAAGACAATCCACTAGCCACTGATAGTTGGGAATATCACAAGAGAAAATTGGGTACAAATGACCTCCAAGATTCTTGATGACATGAGCCAGAGGTGATAAGAAATGTACAAGATTCTCAACCAAGTCCCATTCTTCATCTTCCAGTTTGTAAGTCTCAAGGGCAGTGTCACAGTTAAATTGGCATTCCAATACCACTCTGATTTCCACAAATCTATTGAGAGAGGCATGCATTGATCAGGACCACCAGGCTTAGAACTTGTGCACCAATCCAACCTTTTTTTAACTTAGCACAGCTTGAAATGGTGTTGTCAAGAGCCATGTTGACCTGGGGACTATGCTTCACATGTTTGTGATAGCCACAAATTTGAGTGAGGATTGAGCTCATACCAGCATGTGGAATAGGCTCAACAAATAAGGTAAGACAAGATTGGTCTTGACTCTTGAGGTATGGCAGGATCAAGGGCATTGACTGGAGGACACATAGTCTTTTGGTCAAACACAGCCATGCCGGCTTTAGCAACAGGGTTGACAATGCTGGCCACACGCCCATGGAGGCTTTGGGAGGGATTGAAGTGAGGGATAATAGTCAAGAGACACTGGCCCATTGTGGTGTTCTTTGAGGTGTTGTCGGCGGTTATAAAGTAAAGTTGATCAGTTATGTGAAAGGAATCAAGAATTGACTTGAGTAGTGCCATAATATTCAAGATAGTTTGAGGTCCTTCTATTGGCCTCAACACTCTAGAGTTACACCACACATCTTGAAGGTGCTAGTGAGCCAGTGGGCTGTAACACCTAGCATTGCCATGTTCTTGGGTGAGGGCCAGCCACTGCAGGTGATACTAATTTGTTGGACCAAAGATACCATCATGATGATGGAAGCACAAGTTGAACAAAAGCTTTCCACATTTCCATCACTGATGGCAGTCCATGTAGATCAGAGTGTTATGACATGGGCTAGGGGATTCTGGTTCACGGAAGTGAGGATCAAGGTGCTGTCAATAAGCTCACTTATTTGACTGTTGATTGAGCTGATATATAGATTAAGGAGCTTATAACTAGTAACAAATTTCTAGAAATATAATGTAGAATAAGTTTAGAGCGTAGCAATCACTAACCTAAGGGATTTAAAGTGGTGGTTTAAAGAGCAAAGGTAAGAGTGGATTGGGACGCTGGGAGCTTAAAGGCTAAGTTGAATAACTAGAAAATTGATTTGATTATAAGATGAAGAAAAACCAAAAAGAATCACGGAAACAAGAGGCTTTTTATACCTATTAGAGCCACACAAAGCTGCGTACAAATTAGAACTATTCAAATGAAGCAATACATGTTCAATATCCGGAATCCCGTTAAGCATCATCTTTTCATCATTGATTATCCCCTATTAGACTATTTTTTCACGCGGCCAAGAACCTTCACGTCACAATATAATTAGTCACCCATTTGGCTAAGGAATCCCAGAATGTCAGACTAACGTTTCCCAAGCGTTAAGTCTTGTTTAGTTTTATATTTCAAGATGCCGGGTTGGGTCATCACTCCAACCCATTATCCAAACTGAGATACCGTTGCTTCCTGAGTTCATAACTACATCCTTCAGTTCAGGGAATTTTACATAAAATGCTCGGATTGTAGTTATCAGAAAAGAAAATATTATTTGAAATAATCAATAAAAGAAGGATTTGAAAATAGAAAGAGAAATTAGATTTGAAGAAATAGTTGGAATTTTACGAGTACTTTCACTTGTCACCTGTTAGCCAGGAGATAGGTACAACCTGTACTTATGCCCCGGCTGACAGGTGCTATCTAGTCATATGATGAGATTGTTGTATGAAGGAAAAGGACTATAGTAGTCTAGTGATGTAAGTACAAGTTAGTCTTCAATACATGATATGTGTGTCGTGAGTTTCACAGATGGACTCATAACACAGAGCAAGAAGGCCATGGAATTGATCATCACAAATGTTTCACAAGCATCTTTTACATCAACCAGGAAAACTGGGGGTTTGCAGTTGACAACTAAGTGGATTATGGCATCCTTGAGATTTGCTCTGTTGAACAGGTTGACCTGGTAACAGAATCAAACAAAAAGAAACAAAATTTCGAAATCAATTCATCAATGTCAATGAAAATAATTGAACAAAAATGATTGAACAAAAAGAACTAGTAAAACAGAGTAATAAGAATTCAAAACTTGCACTGCTGAATTTTCCATCAACAAAGTAAGAACCTAAATCAGCTTTATTGGTTTTGACAGAGGGTTCAATGTGATGGGCTCTGGAAAGGTGATGGCTCATTAATTTGACTTGAGTTTTTTTGAACAGCAAGGGCTTTGATTTCTACTGGTGAGCCAGGATTGGTGTTAGTAGAAAGGATGGTGTTGATGAACCCTTCTTTTTCTTGACAGACATTCATCATGAGGCCGTTTACTTCTTCCTGGACAAAATACCGCCAAACCCAAGACAAGTGTAGAGCAGTTGTTGCATCAGATGCAACTTCAGAGTATGAATCAGACAGAGCACAACTGTTTGTAGTCACTGGGCTTTGAGGAACACTAGAAAGAGCACCTGATTTCATTGAGTGGTTTAACTCCAATGATAATTGTGTGACAGGAGCTGAGTGTAAGGGAATTCTGAAAAAAGGTTATCATAATTTATGACAGTTATATTGAAGGTTATCCCTAATTAAGAAAGTCTA